TTTACTAAGATAAATATAAATTTAGTAGAGTAAGAGTATTTAATTTCCTACTATCTATAACTTTAGATATACTACTAGATAGTATTACTATAGATAGGGTAGTATTATTAGGGGTAAAGAGAGATAGGCTAGGCTAATACCTCTTTACTTACCTAGGGTAAGATCTTCTATTTATACCTAGCTACTAGCTATCTATCTAAAAGATATATCATAGATATTATAGAGATTTCTTAGGTCAACCTTAGTAACCTAGGGTTAACCTTAATAATCATTAATCTACTCATGATATTTGTTCACTGATATCATATATAAGAAATACTAGAAGGACCTATCTCTACTATAGAAGAAGAGCCTTTATTATAAGAAATACTAGAAGGATCTATCTCTACTATAGGAGAATTAATATTACCTTCTGCACTAGACTATATATACTTATTATTATCTAGAGAACCTTTACTAGTACTATTATCTAACTCCTTATTATAATTATTAGTTATTACTACTAACTCTATAGACTAATTATATAACTTATTACTATAACTAATAAGGAAATTAAGACTACTAGCTTAAATAATAGATTTATAAGAGTAAAAAAAATTAATAATTATAAATAAGAAATATTTACTAAGGAGAATATATACTTATTAAGAATATTAGAATCTTATATATAAAGACCCTATATATAGAATAAATATACTAATCCTTAATTACTCTAAGTATAGTTAGTATAGGACCTCTAAAAGAATATAAATCTATTATAACTAGGAGTAGAGATATATCTCCTAAAGTAATCCTTATCTAAAAAATAATTACTATAAGCTAATATATAATTATAAGATACACCTTACTACTAGAGAATAATAGCTAATATATAGCCTAAATAAGTATATTCCTTTATATCTAGCTTCTTCTTATTAAAATTCTAGATAATTAGATAAATAATATCTATCATCTTTAATATACTTTTATTAGGCCTGCTAAGATAAGCTTCTATTATTAGTAAGAGATAATTACTAAAGCTAGAAAGAGTACTTACTAAACTTACTAAAAGTAATTATACTTTTCTAATAGATAAGGTAGCCTTTACCCTTCTTTTATAGGATACTTATATTTACTAAGTATAAGAAGAATATAGGAGATTAGTATATAAAGAAAGAGGTTTACTAAAAGAAGATAGTAATTAATATAATAAAAAGAAAGTTACTTACAGGAGAAGAAAAAAAGAAGAGAAGAAGAAATATAAGAGGTAAAAAGAGAATAAGTAAGGTAAAGTAGAGTTACCTAAAATTAAAATAAATAACATAACCTTACCTTACCTCTACTATAATAACCACACTAGTAACCCTCCTTACTATGCATGATTCCCCCTCTACTTACTAAGTATAATCTGATACTACTTACTAAGTGTGATCTAATGCTACTTACTAAGCATGATCTGATACTACTTACTAAGTGTGATCTGATGCTACTTACTAAGCATAATCTGATGCTACTTACTAAATATAATCTAATGTGATATCAGTGAACGAATATCATGAGTAGATTAATGATTATTAAGGTTGACCCTAGGTTACTGAGGTCAACCCTGGGTTACTAAGGTTGACCTAAGAAATCTCTGCAATATCTATGACTTATCTTTTAGATAGATAGCCAGTAGCTAGTTATAAATAGAAGATCTTACCCCAGGTAAGTAAAGAGGCATTAGCCCAGCCTATCTCTCTTCACCCCCCTGGTGATACTACCTTACCCTCAGTACTACCACTATTATCTAGAGAACCTTTACTAGTGCTGTTATCTAACTTCTTATTATAATTATTAGTTACTACTACTAACTCTATAAGCTAATTATATAACTTATTAATATAACCAATAAGGAAACTAAGACTACTAGCTTAAATAATAGGTCTATAGAAGTAAAAAAGATTAGTAACTATAGATAAGAAATATTTACTAAGGAGAATATATACTTATTAAGGGTGTTAGAATTCTATATATAAAGGCCTTATATATAGAATAAATATACTAATTCTTAGTTACTTTAAGTATAGTTAGCACAGGACCCCTAAAAGAATATAAATCTATTATAACTAGGAGTAAAGATGCATCCCCTAAAGGGATCCTTACCTAAAAAATAATTATTATAAGCTAATATATAGTTATAAGATATATCTTACTACTAGAGAATAGTAGCTAATATATAGCCTAAGTAAGTATATTCCTTTATATCTAGCTTCCTATTCTTATTAAACTTCTAGATAACTAGGTAAATAATATTCATCACCTTTAATATACTTTTATTAGGCCTACTAAGATAATCTTCTACTACTAGTAAGAGGTAATTACTAAAGCTAGAAAAGATACTTACTAAACTTACTAGAAGTAATTATATCCTCCTAATAAATAAGGCAGCCTTTACCCTTCTTCTATAGGGTACTTATATTCATTAAGTATAGGAAGAATACAGGAGACTAGTATATAAAGAAAGAGGTTTACTAAAGGAGATAGTAATTAATATAATAAGAAGGAAGATGCTCACAGGAGAAGAAGGAAGAAGAAAAGAAGAAAAAAAAAATATAAGAGGTGAAAAGAGAATAAGTAAGGTAAAGTAGAGTTACCTAAAATTAAAATAAATAATATATAACCTTACCTCACCTCTACTATAATAACTATACTAGTAACCCTCCTCACTATGCATAATCCCCCTCTACTTACTAAGCATAATCTAATACTACTCACTAAGCATGATCTAATACTACTTACTAAGTATAATCTAGTACTACTTACTAAGCATAATCTAATACTACTCACTAAATATAATCTAATATCACTTACTAAGTATAAATCTAATCCAACTTACTATGCATAATATTACTCCCTTAGACTATTAGATTTTAAGAATTTAGATAATTAAGTAAATTAATACTAGGTTAGGATTCTTCCTCTATAAGGGAGAATTTACCCTAACCCTCTGCTTAGTAAGGGCTGATGGAGATACCCTTACATAGGTAAGATAGATATCTTACCAACACTATTAGGAGGCCTTACAAATTAATCCTCTAACTAGAATAATTAGTATATAACTATAAAGAATAGTTATAAGATAGCTTATCTAGTTTACTAGCTAGGGGACTACTTATATTAGAGTTATAGAACCCTAATATAAAGACTAAATAAAAAGAGGAAGAAACCTAGATCTAAGGCCTAGTAGGGGCTAGAGAAGTAGTTATTATTATTATTAAAGAGAGAGAGATCCTATAATTTATAGATTAAGTAAAGAGAGAGGAGGGGTATTAATAAAGATAAATATAATATTTTATATTTATAAAATCTATAAGTTAACTAAAGTTATTAAAAAAGAAGTATATAAAGATTTATTTATTTATTTATAAGTTATAGAAGTAACCTATAGATAAGAATATTATATAAGATAAGCTTATAATAATACTCTACTTAAAAGATCTTACTATAATTAAGAGATAAGAGAAGAACTACTTATAGGTAACTTAGATTATTATTTATAGATATAGAGATATTATATAAGGAGATAGTTATCTCTACTTATAAATAGAGGAATAAAGATACTTAAAATAATAAAAAGATAGATAGAATCTACTTATCTTTAATAATAGATAATAGGGAGGGAGATAGCTTAAGAAGAGAAGAAAAGAAGATTATAAGAGGCTAGAAGTATTATCTTATAAGAGAGGAATATATAATTACTTAGTTAAGGAGAATATAATATCTATTACTAGCTATTTATATAATAAAAATAGACTATAAGATCTTTAACTTTAAGATTATAAAAAATCTTATTTAATATTATTATAAAGTAGCTTTACTCTATAATTTCTTAAGAAACTAATATATTATAATACTATATATATCTATAAATAGTAGAAGAATCTTTTTTCTTATATTAATTATACTTTTTATTCTTATAAAGAGGTTTTTAAGCTTTTATATAGTTTTTTAATAATTATACTATATAGAGGAGGTTTATAGATTAAGAAGATTATAAGATATTAAATATTAATTATAAAGATTATATTATAAGAAGATTATAATATCTATAAGAGGTAGAGTTATAAATATAACTTAGGCCTTAAGGAACTAAGGTCTATAAGAGGGGGGGATAGTTATAAGACCTTCTAATAATATTAGTAAGATATCTATCTTACCTATATAAGGATATCTTAGCCCTTACTAAGTAGGGGGTTAGGTAAATTCTCTCTTATAAAGAAAGAATCCTAATCTAGTATTAATCTACTTACTTATCTAAATTCTTAAAATCCAAGCTATACAGTATCTATTCTTTCACACTAGTTATATTCTATATGCAAGACCTAGTGATCTCATAATTATATAATCTTTATAAAATCTAATTATAGTTAGAATACTTAGTTAACTTAGTCTATTTTAAATTATATAATACTTCTATAAATATCTTTAAATAGGTTAGGTAGTTTTACCTAACTTAAAAAATTATAAAAACTATAATTAGTAGTTTTAACTAAACCTAAAATAGATCTAGGGTATAGAAACTAAACCTAAAGTAATTCCTTAGGCTTGCCCCTAACCCCACACCACTATAAGTTTAGTGAGGTTTGGGTTTGATTTTTGCAGTTCAGTTATGCAACTCTAGTAGATCCTTAATAACTCTAGTAAACCTAGTTTATACCTCCTCTTTAGCCCCTTCCCTATCTAGTAATACTCCTCTACTAAAGCTAGTAAAGATTAATTATTATTTTATTTTTTCTTCTCTAAACTTTAGTTACCTCTTTATTTTCCTTACTACTATAAAGGAGGTTTATATTAAAAACTCAAACAATTACTGTTCAAGGCACCTGGTCAAGCTGGATGCAGAGGTGAAATACACAGATCAGATGGGGCAGATTATGGAAGAATAAGTCACAGCATGTGAGCTTGAGCTGTATTTAAGTTGAGATGATAGGTCCGCTTCTGGACTCTGCTTTACCACTATTCGGTGTGGCTGCAATACATTAGCAAGTGGGCTCCATATGATCGTCATTTTCTTCTTCGAAAGTAGCCTCCTGTCCGAGCAGACACAGGTAGCTCAGGTGGCAGGGTTTGACCTTCGCCACTCGACCTCCATAGGAGCTGTGCCTGTTCACACCATCGAAAGTGGCCCAGAAAGCCGTCTTGCGCATACACTTTGTCTCGAGCGTCGTACCCCCATTTTGTACCCCTGGTGCCGATAATATCTTTTTCAATAGCAAGTTGACACCCGGCACATGAAACCCCGTGTTCAACGCTGCCAGTTTGTTTGTCGTAATAAGGGAGTGCACATGACCCCATGAAGTTGAACTTTTGATTTCAGTCTCCTGGTTGGACTTGCGGAAGTGCGTGCGATTGCCGTCTGCAAACCAAAGTAGCCCGATGAAGAGAAACGATCGTAGTATGGGAATTCTGTACAGATTCATTCATCGAGTATATCCCAGGCAAGGACTTGAACGACCTCAGTTGACCTAATTCGGCTTTGGTCATGTGTAATTGCTTTCGGACTGAGGCAAGAGTCCGCACTTGTGTCTCTGGGGACCCCTGGAGGCATTTGAAACAACATCGCGTCCAAGTTAGTATAGATATGAACCCGCCGAATTCGCCGCAGAGAATGCATGTCTTAGTACATAATGCCTTATAGAAGTCGAGTAGAGTGACGTCGATGGCAAGTCGTGTTCGTAACAAGGCGCAGAAAAGGTTCAGACCATGCGAGACAACCCTACGATACTGGTTGAGGAAGTCTACCATCTGTCTTGACCTGAGATTTATCTGTCGAAATTTGAACAAAGAATACAAATCCAGACGGTACAAGGTGTCAAACAAGAGCTCGAGGGGTAGCCGATCAAGGGAGCCAAGTCCAACCTTTGAAGTCCGCTGGAAGGGTGTTGTTATTGACGGACGAATCTCATTGTGTTCCCGATGCGAGTACCAGATCACGGACAGGCAGAAGTCTTTACGGTGATAGGCGGTGGTTCGAATAATGGCGTCAGCTTGTTCTTTGTCGAAGCGGAATTCGGTGGCAGAGCGATATCCTCGGGGCATGAGAGAAGCCATTCTCGAGATTTGGCAGTACGCGTTAATGGCGGAGTTCGACAGGGGGCCATGAGACTCCAGCATCCCTTTGAACGCTCGTGGAGGTGTGTTGTATCGAATGACGCAATTATGAAAGACGCGGCTGGATCATGAAATGAATGGCCAGGAATAATTGCACAGAGGTTTCAATCTGCTGGTGTCGAGAGAGGAAGCCGGTCCAAATTTGGCAAGTACAGTGTGACTGGAAAGCATTTACTAACTCAGAAATCGAAACCCAATAAGTCTGGCCAGAGCTCCACTTGAGTGGTGATGAGAAGAAATATTGGGGAAGTAGCTCAGGTAGGGATGGTATTTTAAAATGTCAGAACAGACATTTTGACTGTTTTTGTCTGACAAAGTATTTTTTATTAGAAAAAGTGGATTTTACTAGTAAAATAGGTATAAGGATCTATGATCCATGAGAATTAGAAACTAGTGTGAAAGAAGAATGTTTATAAATAGATTTAAAGGTAGGTATCCTTATTTAAAGAGATTATTACTAAACTTTAGAGTTTAGTAGTTATAGGCAGAGTTTATATCTTTATATATTATATAATTATTTATATAATCTCTTATAAAGAGCCTTCTTATTAATAGGCTCCTCTATAAAAATAACTTTAATATAATATATAATAAACCTATATAATTCTTATAATTATCCCCCTCTCTTAAAAGACCTTAGTCCTTAAGATTTATCTAAGATTTTATATTTATAATAGGGTATACTAGTAAAAATCTTTATTTAATAAAAATCTTTTTTTTATAAAGAGAAAAATATAAATAATAAAAAAGATTTATTATCTCTTTCTTTTATAAACTTATATTTATTTATATTCTTATAAAGACTTAGTTATAAGTAGACCTCTTTAATTATAATATTTTTATTATTATTAAAATCTTCTTATAGTATATTTTAGATTTATATTAGTTATTCTTATAATACTCCTAAACATCCCTTAATAGCTTTATTATATAAAATTTCTATAGAGTAAGGTTTAGGATAGTAATAATTTTTATAAAGTATATAATCTCTTCTTCTCTCTATCTTTTATATTTTTCTTAGTTTTTATTATAAAAGTTTTAGTAAGGGACCTTCTATAATTTATAATATTTAGAAAGAGGTAGTTAATATATTATAAGATATTTTATAGAAAAATATCCTTTTTTTTTTTTTTTATATTCTTACTCTTATCTATCCTCTCTAACCTTTTAGAGATAAGTAAAAGCTTATAAGTCTATAGTATTCTTACTAATAGTTTTTATAAAAGAAGGAGGAGGTGGCCTTTATACTATTACTACTACTTATTATATCTCTCCCCCCTATACCTACTACTACTACTATTACTTCTATGGCTTCTCCTACCTCTCTCTCCCTTATTCCTATAGGGGCCTTCCTCCCCCTATATAGGGTTATATATAAGCTTTTTTTTATTAATTTAATAAGAGTATAGCTAGCTCTTATTATAAGGGGAGCCTCTATCTTTAAGCTACTACTATTTTTAGTAGGTACTTCTAGGGCTAACTAGGATGCCCCTATACTTATTATTAGTAATATTATTATTTAGGCTTCTAACCTAATAATAGAGCTATCCCTAGATACTTAATTCCTCCCCTACTTATAGAGGAATCTAGTAGTAGTTATAGGGCTCCTATCCTAGATAAGATTATAACCTCTATTAGACTAAGAGTAAGTATAAGTTATTAAGGCCCTACTCTACTTTATTAACTAGTATAGCTTTAGTATATCTAGTTAGCTAGAAGTCTATACCTAGCTCTATAAGACTATTCTTATAACTAGAGCTAGGGTAAGACCTCCTACTAGCTAGAAGTATAATATTTATTATAATCTAAGTATAAGCTTAGTATTTATAGTATATATTTCTAGTAGGCTAGCTAGGAAGTATAATAACTATCTCTATTATAGCTATAAGAGTTATTTTTTTAAGTAGCCTTAGATTTAGTAGCTATCTTCCTAGTCTTATAAACTATATTATACTTATACTTAATATTAGGTATCTTTATAATAATAGATTTAGGAGTTAGGGATTTTTATATTTCTTTTATTTATTATTTTATCTTTTTCTTATTAAAGATAAGTTTCCCCTCTTTATAGGGTCCTTTATATAGTCTTTATAGATCTATAAGTAGTATAGGCCTTTTATAGATTCCTAAGTATTATCTTTCTTAGTATATCTCTTTTACTAGATATAATACTCTATAAATTACCTATCCTCTTATAAGTCTAAGATTACCTCTAGGTAGTATTTATAGTCCTCTTCTATAACTTTATAGATAGAGAAGTATTCCTATAAGTTTACCCCTTTTATCTCCTTATATTCATAGAGTATAGAGATATAGAATATATTATATATCTTAAGGCCTAGTAGTAGATTTATAGAGTAGGCTAGATTATCTATATATTCTATAATTTATACTAGACTAGTATTTAATTAGTCTAATTTTATAATTAGTCTAATCTATAATATATTCTTAGTAGAGATTTAGACTTAGTCTCCTACTTAAAATATCTTTATAATATATTTCTTATTATAATATTTCTTTTAGTAGGCTTAGGCCTTTACTAGAGCCTTCTTTATATACTTATAAGTATATTCTAGCTTAGTTAGTCTCTTTATAACTAACTCTTCTATAACCTTATTCTTTAGTTTATAGAATCTATTACTATCATATAAGGGTTAATACTTATAACTATATAGGAAGATATATTCTTAATAAATACCTAGTATATATTATTATAGATAAACTCTATAATAGGGAGATAGTTAATTTAGTCTTCCTAACTAAAGTTAATATAGGCTTATAAGTACTATTCTAGCATACTATTTAGGTATTTTATCTAGCTATCTATCTATAGATAATAGGCTATAGAAAGATCCTTATAAATTAAGAGATAAAATATAAAATTTATCTAGAAATCTTTTATAAAGATAGAACCCTAGTCTATAATAATCTTTTCTAGGGTTCTATAAAGTTAGAAGATCTTATAGATAAGAGGTATTACTAACTTCTCCCTATAAAGAATAGTCTAGATAGATATAAAATAGCCTATCTTACTAAATTAGTCTACTACTACTAAGATATTATTAAAAGCTTCTTATAAATTTACTATAGAAGTACTTATAGGGAGATCTATAATTAGATCTATAGTATTTTAGATCTAGATATTTATAGAGATAGATATAGACTTTAATAAGCCTTACTACTTACTCTAGATCTATTATAATCCTTAGTATACTCTATAAGCTATATAATATTTATAAATAAAGTTCTTTACTTCTAGCTATTAAAAGCATCTTAGGACTAACTCTCTTATCTTTTATTCTATAAAGTAGCCTATAAAAAGAATATTATAGAGTTTTATAAAGATACTTAATCTTAAGCTATAATAATCTAAGATATAGAGTATACCCTTATAATAGAGGAGCTCTTTATAGCTTATCTAATATAATAATTTATTCTTTATATAATAGAGCTATAATAATTCCTTTATAGCTTCTACTTATATTATATAGATCTTCTTTATAAGTTTATCTTATATAAGTAATCTTAGTAATAAAGCCTAAATTTCTATAGAGAAATCTCTTATATAAGGGCCTAGCCCCTATATACTCTTATAGATACTAGCTCCTTAAGCTAGTCCTTCTTATAAGTTTATTACCTCTTAGACTAGTACTATATAAACCTTCTATTCTATATCCTCTAAGGTATTTACTTTAGGGTATTCTCTTTTATAAAATATTAATTATTATCTTAATATATTAGGATCTCTATCTCCTTAGCCCTAAGTATTAATCTTTATAGCCTCTCTCTTATAGTTAGTCCTTTATAAGGGTCTATCTATGGGGTTCTTCTTCTTTATATAAAAGACTATCTTAAAATTAAATACTATTAATATTTATAACTATCTTATCTATCTTTATAATAGTTAGGGTATAGTCCTAAAGTAGTAAAGACTATTATAATTAATATTAACTTTAATAACTTCTTATAAACCCTCTAGGTAGTAGTACTACTTCCTAAAGGATTCTACTATTATAAGGAGTTCCTAGTTATAGATACTATAATTCTTCTCTATAGGTTATATCTTCTATAAGAAGAAGGCTACTAACTACTAATAACCCTCCTTACTTAGCTATAATTATATTATATAGATAGTATATCTAGATATAGCTATTTCTATTTATAAGTAGTACTTCTTATAAAAGTAGGTAAGTACTATCTACTCTATAAATACTTTTTTTAATCTATTAAAGATATTTATTATTTCTAGGATTAGGAACTCCTTCTTTAGAGTCCTCCCTTTACTCCCTAGGCTAGGTTTTTATAAGAGGTCTAAGAGATATACTAAAAAGTATAAATACTTCTTAATAAATCTCCTATATTAGTTAGTAAACCCTAGGAATGCTAGGATCTTCTTTATAAATTCTAGTTATAGCTATTCTATAATAATACTAATCTATAAAGATTCTATTTCTAGATCTTTTAATATAATTATATAGCCTAAAAAGTTAATTCTCTTTATTATAAAGAGATACTTACTTTAGCTTTATAAATAGTCCTATTTATTAGAGTTAGATTATTATAAAGTAGATATGCTTATAGTACTCCTTCTTATCTTATAAGAATATTATAATATTATTAATATAGACTACTATAAAGATATCTAGGTAGTTATAGAATAGCTAGTTTATAAAACTCTAAAATATTATAGGAGTATTAATATATCTAGAAGATATAACTAAATACTTAAATAATCTATATTTTATATAAAAGATTATTTTCTACTTCTATTTTTTTATAATCCTAATCTTATAATAAATCTTATAAAGATCTAGTTATATAAAAATCCTCCCCTCTATAAGCCTCTTAATAGTCTCTAAAATAAGGGGAAGTAGATAGTAATTCTTTAGAGTACTATAATTTAGATTATAATAATTAATATATAGCTAGAGGGTGCTATCTTTCTTTTTAATAAAAAGAATTAATATTTATATTACTATCTTTAACTTCTAGATCTATTTCTTTATAAGTATTATTTAAATATGCTTATAAAGTATTACTAACTCTACTAAAAAGAAATTATAAAAAGGTCTAAAGAGTAGTTACTTCTCTTTCTTTAGATCTATCTCTAGATTTATATCTTTATAATATAGTAGTAATCCCTAAGCCTTCTTCTCTAAGAAGATTATATAAAAGTTTATAAGCTAGTCTAATATAAAGTTCTTACTCTTTACTATCTCTTATAGGATTTCTATAACTTATACTATTATAACTATTATATCTTCTATTTCTATAAACTCTTCTACTAAGACTAGATAAATTTATAAAGCTAACTCTATATTAAAGATTACTTTATCTTCTCTCTAAAGAATTATAGGATTATACTACTTTAATTATAATATCCCTAAGATAATATAATTTATATCTAGAGATATTATTATAAGCTCTATAAAGAGCTACTCTATTTCTTTATTATCTCTAATTAAAATAGTGGCTTCTACTACTCCTTTATTTCTTATTTCTTATAAGGTTAATATCTTTATAAAGATCTATTATAATAAGATATACTAGTTATTTTCCTTAGCTAGTATTATAGGGATAAGATTAACTAAGCTTCTATTATTAATTAGTATTTATAAGATTAGTCTCTATCTCTTCTCTCTTATTTAAGCCTAAAGAAATATACTTAGATAAGAGAGTAAGAACTTATAATACTCTTTATTCTATTTCTTAATAATAATAATAATAATTAGTTATTTAGTCTTTATAAGGCCCTCCTACTTTAGCTTACTTAAATAGTATCTTATAATATACTCTTTCTTATTATAATTAAAATAGACCTATAAGATATTAAAGATATAAGGCTATAAGCCTTATCTCTTTATAAATAAGATAATTATAATAAATTCTATTATCTCTATCTTCTTAATAATAATATAATCTATATAGGGCTTCCTTAAGTACCTAAAGTCTTAATAATCTTTATCTCTATATAAGGAGTCCTAATAAGTATTCTATTTTATATTTAGATATAGTCTTATAAGTAGAGAGATTATCTCTTTCTTAGATTTTAGGAATTTTAAATACTTATAGACCTTCTACTTAAATACTATAAAAAAGAACTTAAAGAAGAGATATAATTATACTTTCTTTATATTCTTTATATTATCTCTAATTTTAACTTATTACTTATATTATCTCTACTAATATATATAGTTTATTTCTCTCTTATAAGGCCTTATCTAAAATATCTATAAGTATACTTTCTACTTATAATTCTCTAGATTATCTAGTTATATTTCTAGAAAAGTATAGAGATTTTTTTATTCTTAATTATAGAAGTTCTTAGATATCTTACTTTACTAAAGATTAGAGAGAATATAATCTAGATAAATTATTATAACTTTAGTATACTTCTTCTTATCCTAGATATTAGCTTCTATAGTAGACTCCTAACTTATAATAAAGACTTAGTATATTATATAGTTATAGGTTAAGTATCTCTCTAACTTAGATAGGAATTAGATTTAGATATTAGTTTTTTTATAGATGATAAGAATAGTTTCTTTTATTCTTAGCTTTATAAATACTTTTTAAGACCTATACCTAGGTTATTATAAAGCTTCTAAATTTCTTATAAAAATTATACTTTCTATTATAAATACTCTCTTATAGAGGTTACTCTTATTAACTTTAGATCTACTAAAATAAAGAAGTCTTATAAATCTAGCTTATTCTTAGAGCCTTCCTCTATATAGGCTATCTCTTTTCCTACTATTTAGCTTTATATAGTTATAGAGAAGAATTTACTAAATAGTTTAGATCTAATTAACCCCTTTTATAATATTATTTTCCTAATAGACTAGTTTTAAAGGTTAAGTAATAAAATATAAGGATTTATAATCTATAAAAATTAGAAACTAATATAAAAGAAGAATATTTATAAATAGATTTAAATATAGATATCTTTATTTAAAGAGATTATTACTAAACTTCAGAGTTTAGTAGTTATAGATAGGATTTATATCTTTATAGGTTATATAACTATTTATATAACCTCTTATAAGGAGCCTTCTTATCAGTAGGTTCCTCTGTAAAGGTAGCTTTATAATACATAATAGACCTTTGTGATCCTTACAACTTCTAGGGGCTCTTATTTTATATAAGGACCTATTAGCCCTTCTTTAGATAAGATTATTTTACTTATATATTATAGATTATCCCTCTCTTTATTATATATTTTAATAGCTTCTTATTTACTAATATCTATGTTTTTAAGTACTTAGAAAGTAGTTAACTTTGAGATTTCTTAAGTTTATTAAAGTACTCTATTGATTTTTAGATAAAATAATATAAGTATTTAGATTTTAGATAAGATAATAAGCTAATATTTTAGGTTGCGCAAGCTATAAATACTTATTAATGGTCTTGGTGGTCATATATATGGGGTATGGCTTATGAGCAGTCCAGACTACTCATGTGAGCTGTGTACACTAACCAGGCTTTAGTATTATATGACCTAGTATTAGGTGATCTAGATCACCTGATCCTAGATTATGTGACCTAACTAGCAACAGGAGGAATACCTTAACTCCCACACAACCTGTACTTAGATAGATAGACAATCAACAGATATATTTTCATTCTCACTGTGATGTAGTCATGATCCTTCCCTATTAACACCTCATACACACATCAGATATCAAGGTAGGTTAAGGAGTTGTTGATACTGTCATTTGTCCTTCAACTTTGGAATGCCGATCGAAACAGCTTGTCGCCATTACCAACCAACTTATGGTGTTTGTTTTGCCTATCACAACTAGGTCTCCTGTATTTTGAGGATGCAATGGCCGAGAAGGTGAACTCATTGGTATTGATGGTGTCTGGACCAGCTCTGGCAACTTTTTTTTTTTTTTATCGATGTTGCGAACGTGTACAGCGAATCAAATCTTGATGAGCTACAAACCTCTTAGAACGGACTGGATGACACTGTCATTAGACTATCAATATGCAAGATGGTTTGCGACACCCATGTCAACCCATCAGTGGACGCATCTCTCATTCGCCTCAACGACCTGCAGCTATGGATGCTGCTGTAAAACCATCTAAAGTGCCCACACTGCCACGTTCGACCCCCCAATAAATCTGAACAACAATATGTATCAGTCCAACTAGCAATCGCATCCCGCTTGTGTATGCTGGTTCTCTGCGCTCAGGTCCTCCTTCGATGTCTCACACATATCGACTATCGACTTCTCCTATGAGGCATGAACACCATGCCCAATGATCCCGTCTCCTTTGATTCATCATCCACTATCTCCATGGCTCCACGATCGGACGATGGCTCCACCGTCCTCTGTGATCAGCGCATGGATTTCTTCGCGTAGTTCTTGGCAAAAGCTGGGCGACCCATGTCCTTGACCAAAACGAGCTCTTTCTCGCAGGGATCTGAGGAGTAAGTCACGGAGACCCCACTGTAGACAGATCGAGTGTTCTTCCACTTGTTGAAGGCTTCCAGCACTCGACGAGCAACGACAGTGCTCGCGAACACGGCAGTTGCTATGTTGCGGTCAGCTTTACCTTCGTCTGCAAAGGGCCATGCAAACTATACAAGCAGCCAAGCACATGAACACGATAGGGACTGTGAGGATCCCAGTGGAGACAACTTACCGTTTCCAGAGTTGAAGACCCAGAGGAAATCAATGTTGCCAGGACCCGCCAAGGCACGGATGTCTTGCTTCCACTTTTCAGGGGACATGTTGTCGGCGAACAGCCTCTTTCTTGCAAAAGACAGGCGGCGACGTTCTCGGACTGGCTGATTCATTCGACGGTGGTCGTCGTCCCAATCAATGACCTCGGCTAGCTCGACATTGTATCCGGTGCCAAAGCGCCCATATCCAAGCATCTCCTCCATCTCCTGGTTCGACTTCACAAATGCCAGAGCATGCGAGGCAAACTGAAAGGCCACTTGAGTCATTCCGTTGCTTTCCAGCCGGATATCCTGCAATGGCCCCTCGTGGATGCGGGCGGTGATGAAATGGATCATATCTTTGGTCACTCTGCCGTGAATACGCACAACGCCTGCTTTGACCTCCGGAATATCCTGAGGGAGCGAGACCCCAGCATAGTCCAGCGTCCCAAGACCATTCTCGTCCTCGTTTTCGTGACTCTGCTTCGATCCGGAGACAGACGACATGGACATGGGAGATAGGTAATGCATGGTATCTTTAGGCTGTCCCTGAACATTGCCCATAGAGCTGGCGACCTCGGCCCAGCTTCCAGCTCGTTTGCCATGGCCCCTAACAGGTTCCTTCTTCTCCTTCTCAACTTCGTTCAATAATGCAGCAACGGCTTGCTTCTGGATTGACTCGTGCATAGCTCTCTGTTGATCCTCGGCGGTCATGCTCCTGGATGAATGCTTGTGCCTGTTAGTAGCTTTTGAACGCTGTATCATAGAAATTGACAATGCAACGCTCACCATATGATCCTCGTCCAACATGTATTCGTTATCCGGGATATGCTCAACGCCCTCAGAGAATGCGTTGACGATCATAATGCTCAGTTTGCCGAGCTCATTGGCAGATTTGTGTTGTCCATGCTTTCGGAACTGATATCGTCAGTACAGTCCACCTCATTTTCTTTTGGCAGGGGTCCTCACATGGCAAGAGATACGGTTCAAATGGCCCAAGGCCTCAGCCATGGCCCCATCGATTGTGTATATCCCCATACTAAACACAGCCCAATAGTTGATTCAGGGAGCCGCTGGTGTTGGAAGTCTCGTCAAGCCGCGGCTTGCTCTTGTTGTGCGTCTTGAGAGGTGGTGTACGTGAACTGAAGCGAGGTATCTATTTTCCGTCCTGCTCAACATTAGAAATGGATCCCAAGGCAGAAAAGTCTTGATAGGCTTGACCAACACTGCTTGAGCTTCCCTGATATTTATTGAATCGGTGGTTAGACTGCAGATGACCAGACCGGGAGTAGTATCTGAAGAATTGCAGGACAGGTACACAGAAGATGAAGGTGCGATGGGAGGCAAAAGAGCTGGGGAGATGAGCAGTGGTTCTTCAAAGATTCAATGACACTGGGTGTTTGTCTAGAAAGCTTTGCAGGAGAAGAGAATGATCTAGAGCCTTTGTTTTCCAAGAGAGCTTTCTTCCCAAACCGCTGCACTGACAGGAAGCAGAACGCGTCTTGCAAACAAGAAGATACTAGATCGATGAAAGTACTTTTTGGGTGTCTCCTAATCGATGATAATGAATAAGCGTGGAGGATACGAAGGGATGTGGTTTAAAGAAAGAGGGAAGCAGGGAGAGGTGAGGCTTAGGATTATACTGGCTATTTCTCTTCTGGGGAAGTGAAGGTCTACACCAGAATCATTAGCACCTCAGTGGGTACCTTCATTCACATTTTTTTTTCTACATCCCATGATTCTCTTTCACCCTTGTCCAGAAAGTTGAGGCAATCACGTAGCATTCACAAACCCAAAAGGTCATGTCTTGGATGTCTCTATCATTAATCTCATTGGGATAATCTTGTATGACCTTCAACCATTCAGCCCCTTCTAGGAGGGAAAGTTCCGTAATAGAAGGACATGAGAAGAAAGTATCCCTACTGATGAGTGAAATGGTCTTATATGCTCTGTGTATAGGATCAATATATCTGATTCCTGCAAGCTCATGATGGTTATCAGAACATATGTAGTTTCAGAGTCTCTGGAATAGAACATACATACATACATCCTTAGGTCTCAAAGAGAACCGCAGCCAGTCCCGAATACTAGCATGTAGCAGTCTAAATAGCATGCACGTTACAGAGACACAGACCGGAGTGTGTGATCATCTCGGATCTGTGCAGGACTCTTCGCGTTTCTTTTTCGTCTTCAGATAATACAATGATTTGATAACGAGACTGACTATACTCAAATGAAACATCAACTTAAATGAAATAACAATTCGAACTATATATGGTATCTATATTTTGGCTAAAAGTCATGCGGAAAGCGGAGGGAAGTTCCTCACAAAGCTGTAAAAGAGCAAAATCAGCACCAACTTAGCTTTCAATCCAGAGATTCCGCCAGTTTGCGACTTACTGGGCAGGGCATTCATAGCCCGAAGGATTCTTGTCCAGGTAGAGCTGATGGTACTCCTCTGCGTCCCACCACTGACCTGCAGGGATGATCTGCGTGGAGACGGGCTGTTTGTACCACTCCTTGCTCACCTTCTCGGTGACTTCCTCCGCAACCTTCTGCTGCTCGTCGCCATGGGTGAAGATCGCACTGCGGTACTGTGTGCCGACGTCAGGGCCCTGGCGGTCCTTGGTGGTGGGATCATGCATGCGGTAGAAGAACTCAAGTAGGGAGCGGTAGCTGACGACAGAGGGGTCAAACGTTATCTGCACCGCTTCGGCGTCTGCCATACAGCGTTAGTGTTGTCGAAGGCACACTCGATCCGAGAAAGAAGAACTTACGGCCTGTTTGACCAGTGCACACAGCTCGATAGGACGGGGACGACGTCGAGCCGCCAGAATAGCCCACCTTGGCATCTAGAAGTCCCTTTCCATTGCCAAAGTTTTTGCGAAACAGATGCTCGACTCCCCAGAAGCAACCAGCAGCCAGTGTCGCCTTCTGCGTGTTGTCCGACATATCCCGCGATGCTGATTCGGATGTCAGGGAAAGGATAGGGGAGCTAGTCGAGAAAGGACGGAATAAGCGTGAGAATAGGGTAGATCCGATGGCAGGTGCACCAAAAGCCATGAAATAAATAACTGAGACGTGGATATCTACCTATTACAAAGAAAAAAAAAATCTGAGAGGCGCGAGGCCGAATTGCCGCGATTGCGGGGATGGGATGGTGATCAATTGAGGAGAGTAGAGACAAGCTCCAATTTCCTTCTTGCAGACAGATGAATGAATTTAGTACCCTTAAAAAGCTCCCCGAATGGCGAATCTGGGTCTATATAATCTTTCTTCACCACTGAAGTTCGCCCCCCTTTCTGTCAAACTGTCTTCATCACTCTGACGCTTAAGTAAGATGGGCTGGCGTCATTTGACGCAATGACATAATGAAAATTCGAGGCTCTCCGCACGAGATTTGGAATATACAAACAATTCCATTGTAGTCAATTGGAAGACTTCGACATGTTTGTTGCAGACGAAGCAGGAGGAAATACGAGTAGGATCTTGGGCCGCGGACTCCGGTCTGCAAATCCAACTGCTCCAAATTGCTCCCCTAATACTAATCATACAAATTTAACTTAATATTATTGGTATCTTTTTGTACAGAGGGACACATCGGCAGTATTAAGCAACAAAGAAAGCGCGCTTATGTTCCCATGTTCCCTGTGCGGAATATCCCATTTATGCAATGCAAGTTATAACGAGAAGTTCAGCAGAGATGACATTCTCATATTGAGAATAATTTGGACACTGATGGAAAGAGAAAGAAAAGGACAATGGTATTTGTATTTCGAAACACCTTCCCAAGCACCCATATCGCCTGAAACTAACCAAAATAAGAAAAAGAAAAATGTTAACTACCTCCAGCTGCCTCCAGAGCTGGGGTAGAGAGCCTCTGGGGGTCTTTCGACGTTTGGAGCAGCCATGACGCTGAGCCTGATTGCGTCCCTGCTTGTAAGGCTGATATCTCGGGGTCGGAAGTCTCCTCCGAATGTAGTCCGCCTTTGACTGGTGTTTTTCATGATGGGAAGAGCCCGGGGGCTCAAGACTCTGGGCTTGGGGTCAGGCTCTTTCTCACTTTTCACCATGCGTCTTGCCTGCGATGCAGTAAACATGGTGTTTTCGCTTGGAGAGCTTCCATAAGTTCCGGATGTCGGACTTCGTCGACGGTGAATACGGAGAGCATTGGCAGAAGCACCAGGACCGAATGACCCACTTGAGATACGTCTCATTGCTGAAGTTATTTTGATAGCATCGTCTTTGGTAGCCTTCCAGCTGTCCTTGCTATCCGACATTGGACTGCTGGAGTAGCTTCCGCTAGACGTGCGGACGGCGATTCGTGATGGACGGTCAATGGAGCTCCGATTCAGGAAACTGCTATTTTCAATATCACGCAGAGGGGAACTTTCGGTATCAGAGAGTGGGAGCGTTGAAGTTGGGGGCGGAGCCATAGGTGAGCTACCCAGTTTCTTTGTCAAAAAGCCAGCTTTGAAGCGATTGTTCTTTGGTACATGTAGAGTTGGTTCAGAAGATTGTGGGACTGGGGAAGAACAGAAGGGGCTGATATTTCTGCTGGGTACCGGGATGCCTCGAGGGATGGGAGAGGTTCGAGGTAGAGGTGGTTCGCTAGGACTTTCTTCAGGAATAATCTCCGTCAATAGTTTTTGGGGTGTTTTCTGATACTCGGTCAGAGCACCATCCTGCTCATCGTCCTTCCATCGGACACTCCTTTTAATTGTCTTTGTCTGTGGCTTCTTTGGTGAGAAGCTAACGCTTTTTCTTCCACCACCCACTTTACGACGCCGGGGAGATCCTTTTGTCGGTGATGCCGGTGCTGTGGGCGCGAAAGTAATCGGCGCGTCCAGGGCTTTCGCCACAGGAAGGTGGGCTACACTCAGCCTCTTTTTCTGCTTAGGAGAACTCAGTTTCAAAGGACTGAGGGGTTGGGCGGGTAGCATAGCGCCATCGGGCTTCACGACGTTGGTTGCCACAGTGGATGAAGAGTTGAGCATCTTCAGAAGGATCTTCTTCCCCATCTCGACCGCTTCCTCTTCATTCATCTCCATTAGATGTTCGATCGAGGCCATGGTTTCGAATTGGGCTTGCAGGAGAAGTTGCACTATTGCCGCTTCGCCTGTCTTGTCTTGCTCTGCCACAGTGGAGAGAGCCTCTCGCTCTGCATTCGAGCGGAGAAGTTCTGCCTCCCGGTCGAAATTGGCAACGTCGCTGTTGTCGCTAATATCAAAGTCCCGAAGTTGGCGGACGGCGTTCTCGACAGCCGAGTTCATGGCCCGATCCCAGTTGTTCTTGGCCAGCCGCTGGTGGTAATGCTGCCGACTACCTTCCAACTCAAGAAGAATTCCTTGTGCACTTTTTCGAATCGCCTGCAGATTTGACAGTGGCTGCCTGTTCTCCGAATTCTCACAAACGGCATCAAATGCAGCGATCCATGAAGACAGCATACCGATCCTGCGGCTAACCTGTCTCAATTTGATCATATTGTTGGTCCTCTCTTGCCTCTCTTGTAATGAGTGCTCATATGCGTTGCGAATACGGGAGATTCCTTCTCGAATAGCTGCGTCCTTCTTTTCGGTCTGCTTCTTGAATTTGGCGAATGCCACCTTCTCCGACTCTTTCTGCTGAGCTTTGAGCTCATTGATCAGGTTCATCTGCTCATCAATCTTCACCAGGAAATCTTTGACATGACGATTGACATTGAAAACGTTCCGTGTGACTTTGGTCTGAATGTTCTTGGCCCGGTTTGCGTAGCGCAGAGTGTTTTGCGTTTCGTCGAAATGCTGGCTCGAAGGACTGACACAAACAATCATTACTGTCCTGCAGTTGCCACCGAGCGAGAATTTGAGGAGACGCGTCAATTTCGAGTTTCGGTAAGGAACATGATTGCGCTTTCGGGGGTCGCAGAGGGCATTGATACAGCTGCCCAGTGCAAGGAGGGATTTATTGATATTCGCTCCTTCGAACAGTCGCTCTCCCCTATTCTTTGTGGCACTCGCACGTTCACTTCCTGCCAGGTCAATGATACTCAATGTTGCCATGGTATGTGGTTCGTTAACATCGGCGTTGCGATCTTTCTGAGCAATGTTGATCTGGAGGACGGCGTGCGACCGCGAGGAAGTGGCGTTTGCCTCGGTTGGCGACATCGTGCGAAACTCATTGCCCCTCATAATCATGTCCATGACCTGTTGAACGTTCTGTGGATGATGGCTTGACAGCCCAGAGACAGAGACGGACTGGTTAGTATCCTCCCGAAGCATTAGGCCCCCTTTGCTGCCGCCTGGGACAAGAAGATCGCGGATCGTTTCGTTATAAATCTCCAAATACGAAAGGGAAACCTCCGTATGTTTTTCTCCCGCTCGTTCGTCAATACGCTCGAATAATTCCTGCATGGTAAGGAAGATGATACCGGGCTGCTGTGCTGTACCAGTAATTGTATGTGTTTTTCCACATCCGGTAGCACCGTAAGCAAAAACAGTGGCATTGTAACCATCGAGGACGCTGTCGAGCAGAGTTCGCGTTGTCGCTTCATATACCTCACCCTGCGAGGCATTCTGGTCGAAGATTCGATCAAAGGCAAAGGTCTGGTCCTTGACGCGTTTCCCTTGGGGCACGACGCTTCTCGAAAATTTCTGAACGGGGTTGTCTTCCGGCGGATCGAAAACCCTACACTATCGTCGGTAGCTGTTCCAATTGAGATGGTTAACCACAATCTAGGCTTACAGGCATCTATCGTCGATAACCTTGATGATGGACCGGATCCCCTTCTGGTTGAGCTTAGGGATTGGTGCTCCGGCTAGCGAGCCATCACCAAGGAACACAGGACCGTCTGCGCATTTCGGGAGCTGTGCTGCCTCTCGGATTGTGAAAGGTCGAACTCGAACGGTGACTGTAATCGAAGAGGCGCCGCCTTCGGCTGCCATGGCGTCTATCCTTCAACGTTCCTCCAGGTTGAGAAAAAAGAGTTAGATTCCAAGTGAAGATTGAACGGAGGTCGGATTATCGGGGTATCATGCGATATGCTGCACCCGTCGGCCACGCGGAGAAAACTGAGGGAAAGAACGAGATAAGAAGAGGTTATCGAATGATTAAGAACACAAGAGCCCGTAGTCGAAGAATGTTGACAGTGGATCTCCTTGAAGGTCTGTTTCGTGTTGAGCTCTCCAATGGTTAGTCTCCCCCCGAAGCCACTTGTTGACACCTGAGTGTTGTCCACGTTGCGTTGCTCCGAGCAACCATACCCCCGTGTCGATAAAGACTCTGTCGCGTGCGCTTTGTGATTCACCCTTCAACTTGAACCCATAACCCCCATAGAGAGAAATACCACAGGGTTTGTTTCATATTTCTACATCCTTTTCACCGTTGATTGGCTGTCAGACTTGCAAAGGACTGGGTCCTGTCCTGATATAGCGCGCCTTGCCTTCCATCATGATGCTAAAGTCTACGTACCAGGGACGGATACCATGTACCAGAGCTTCGATATGATCATTCTAATACTAGACCGTAGACTTTTGAAGATATGTTGGCAGCTTGACTCAGCATTAGACCGTTACTGCGCCAAGGAGAAACCATAGAGGCTGGACTTTCAGTTCTTAGACTGATCATCATGCTTGTTACTGAAGTACACAGCATCAGCTATCTACTAGATAGTGGGCGCAAGACAAACAGGCACATAGAAAGTACTCGTCCACTCCTTCCACGGAAAGATGCATGCCCTTAAGAAATCATGGGTGACTATGAGGGGTTGTCCTAATTGTACATTTGCCTATACGAGACTCTAAAGCCCGGGCAATAGGATAGTTGAAAGCTTTCTCATAAATTTGTCAAAGCAATATTAACGCCAGATGGTGAACACTCCTACCTAACCAAGCGCCGAAAACAAGAAGCAAGAAAGTTCGATGTGTCTCCAGCTCAATTTGGCTCTTCTTCCTCGTCGTCAAGGCTTGGTAAGACAACGTCCCATCCAGAATCGTCCAAGTCAAGATCGATATCGAGGTCGCCCTCTTTATCCATTTGTTCACGGGGTTTCCGAAACCTGAAGGCAATAGACTGTCCATTCCGTAAATCTGCTGCTTTTAAACTGGTTTTCTTCCCGGCGCCACGCTTGGATCCATTCTCAAGTCCTGGTATCTCATTCTCCAGTCTCGTCCAGCCCTTTTCCAGGTCATTCTTATCCACCGGGGCACCCAGCTCGATTTCTGCGTGATCTTCAGGAATGGAGTCTCCATTGATTTCCTTGATCCCTCGGTCTTGGAGAGCTTTGAGCAGCGTTTCTTTGGCAGTCGTGATGGACTCGTGGGGAGGAAGCATCAAGAGCACGGTAGTTTTGTGCTTCTTGAACAAGAGTGTCAAACTTGAGGGATCGACCTGTGGCTGGCTCGCCATACTTTGTTAGATAAGACAGTACTGAGGACATATATATCGTAGACTTACCATGGTGGGCTATTGAGACCTAAACTGATTTGTATGCGGCTCTTAGGACAGCTTTGGCGGGGCCTCGGAGCTTTCAGACAGCCAAGCGGGAAATCGGAGAAGTCGAGTGCCTATGAATCAGCTCTCCGCCAAAATAATAACTTGAGGACAATCAACTCCCAAGCAATTGCGATAAGCTGGCACCTGTACAGGAAAGATTGAAAACTTTATTTCAAATTGATCATTCATACCACTTTAAATTCGCTTTATTGACCATAAGTACGCCACTATGGAAGCCGACCATTCAAGCCAGGCGCGCTCCATGGAGTCGTCAACTCTACTCAAGATCCTCCACTGGGACAAATTGTTCGAATCCGATACTCCTCCCAGGCTTGGGATTCCAGTTGACAAGCGGCTACCGTTTACGGCGCTGTCAGCTTTCTCTGTCGGCATGGCGATCGGATCTTCTCACGGCAGCAAAAAAGCTGCGTACCGGTTTCGCGCCGAAAATGCCCATCGCTTCCCGACCACATCGACGGGATGGTTCCAATACCACAAGACGAAGAATTACATAGCCATTGTTGGAGGTGTTAAAGAAGGGTTGAAGATGGGGCTTAAGCTGAGTGCTGGTGCTCTTGCATTCTGCCTTTTCGAAGAAACGGTGGACTATGCTCGGCACGACAAGAGGGATTTCTTGTCAACGGTCACAGCCGGACTGTCCTTTTCAGGTATTTACAGTCTGCTAGGTATGTGTTTCATCTTCTTTACTGTGTTGGGGTTCTACACGATGGAACAATAGCTAATTGATGGTCTGCTTCAGCCCGACACGACGTATACACCGCTGCTCGCACAACGAAACTAGGGCTGAAACTGAGTCTCGCTTATGGGTTGATGCAGGACGCTCTTGAGACGCTAAAGGGGAACAGGCCGGCTTATGTGAACTTCATCCTGGGTAACCGTCATGGGGACAAATGAAGACTGTGATCTTCCTCAAAACTGTCTTCTTATCCGTTGACCATTGTGGAACCCAAAACACGACGCATCCCGCCGTGTAGGTCCATCCCTCGATAAGCAAACATGGCCAGACATGTGTTGCGGTCACAGATCAAAAGGCTTAAGGCACAAGCCGGTTGATCAGACTGCTCAACATCCAGGGAGTTTTCAGACAGCTGACCAAGATCAGTGTCTCTGAACTCGCACTAATCTCTTACGATGGCGTACGAATAGGGCAATGACCCTGGAAACACTTTCGCCTAGCAATCGTTTTCTTATCAACGAGGAAATGGTGGGAGTGATCGCCAAAAAGGAACAGTCATGCAGGTTCTGGGCACAATGCATGTGAAACCAGGCTGATGTCTCTAGCTTTCATCCACAGAATAGAGGTGGGATCCCAGGCAATCAGAACATATTCGTTCTTGGTGTTGTGAGCTGCCAGTTCCCGATTAAAAAAAAAAAGAAAAAAAAAGTCTTCGGCATCTAGTGTACATACTTTCCTGTCGCCGGGAGATCGTCTATTGAGGTTCAGCCTACATTTGACGAATATCTGTAGAGTATTTAGAAGCAGGATGGCCCTGCGGTTTCCCGCGAACATTAATCGAAATTACTTTTCCTATGGCAGGTTTCTTCTCATTTGACAGAGTAGCAAGGATTATTGCTGGGCAGTACGCTGGACAATCGGTGTGCGAAACTAGGGGACCGCGGAACTGATAACAAATCGATCGAACTGCCTTGGGCGTATCAGTGTAGTTTCTCAAGCAAAAATAGACCATCGCCTATGTGAGTAGTAGGTTTCAGTGGTCCGCGTATTTTCATCTGTGGAGGGTGTTTATCTATATGGATTGTCACTTGTCCCTTTGCGTAATCTTGATGGAAGCTGAAGGACTCGTACCTTGAGGAGGCTCTAGTATACAAGAGAAAGCTGGACGCCTGTACACATTTATCCTTGATACAAAAATAGCATCATGAGAATTATCATTAACAGTTGCTTGATGATACTCGACCTGTGCATTATAGTTGGGTTGTGGGGTTCATGCTTGGAGACTTTCCAGCACGGTTATCCTATCTTAGAGCAACCATGAGGATTATCTTTAATTGAAGAGGATAATCTTGCATGCAATCCCTTTTTGTTTCAGTCCATTAGTTTCTGCGTAATCTAACTATCACATATGGCTTGAACCTGTTTTAGGGTAGATCGTTATAATGTCCATGTTCTATCTACCACCTCCCGGGGGTTCCAGAGGATTGTTCAGTAATAATAGACCTGAGCATAATACAGACATCCCACCATAAGCTTCAACATTTTTCAGCTCAAAAGTCAAAGGCTGACATTCCGACTATCTAATGGGTTCAAACCAGTTCTGACTCGGTCTTGTGCTTCTAATAGGCCGAATGACATTCATTCCCCTGTAAGAATCCAACCCAACATAAACTAACCCTGCATCTTGAGCCTCTAAAGCATTTTGCACCATCCAAATGGATTTTCTTCTTCCCTTTTCCTCCACCGGGTCAACCAGTTTTCTAGACTAATATAGCGTCGATGATAAGACTCCCTCTCCAATTGATATCTATTAGATACCTTGACTTGAGCATTTTATTTCCAGTGGCTGTCGTGAAGTAAGGACTCCGTAGCGGTGGAGCTCAACCGCATCATTCTAGAATATTTGACGTTGGTGATCCCCGCTTTACTACTTTTTACTAGTATTCTTAATTCTTTTGGAACAGTTCCCGCTGTCCGCCAAACTAAATCACCTGCTAATCATTCATCGTTACTGCTTCTACTACTCTCTACTACTACTATGCTTGTTCTTCAACATATTTGCCAAATTGCTCAGGATTCCCAGCTTCTATCTCACTGTGTGACCCTTCATTCCCCCACTTCCAGCGACTGTAGATGTTGCCTCATTGCTGACGCCTGTTCTCTCCCCGCGCTCTACACTGACGATGCTATTCTGAAGCTCCCGTGATCACTATTCTCGTCGACGTCATCGGCCCATTGATCGCTTTCCAGCGACCTCTCTATATCTGCTGCTTGGTTGATCGGACGACAAAAATCTAGTCTCATCTTATCGCTCTGTGTTCTATTCGAACCAAGCATCGTAACTCTTCCATCATGCGGCGCCATGGCAGGTCTGGCGGAGGGACAAAGGCTGTCACGCCCGTCTCCGACACTGTTTCGCTCATCCATTCGTTCGACTCAATCACTAACCCAAATCGACCAGCACGACCGTCTCCATTGGCATCCTCTCACATCCAAGCATTACCTCTAGACCTAATCGATCGACTACGCTCCTTCCCTCTGTTCCAATCTACTCCAGAGTCATTCCTGGTCGAAGTCGCACAGCATCTCCGGCCCCAGCTCAGTGCCCCGAACGATTACATCCTGACCGAAGGCGATGAGGCCAAGGCGATATACTGGTTGGTGCGGGGGGCTGTCTCCGTCACCTCGCGTGATGGTGAGAGTATCTATGCCGAACTGGAACCGGGCGCTTTCTTCGGTGAAATTGGAGTGTTGATGGATCGGCCTCGCACTGCAACAATCATTGCTCGAACGCGGTGTCTACTGGTCGTTCTATCCAAAGAGGATTTTAGAAACATTCTTCCGCGGTTCCCGGAAGTGGAACGAGCGATACGGGACGAGGCACAGGAACGACTGATGATCCTGGAAAAGAAGAAGAAGGAGACGTCAACGCCATCCGTTGACATTGCAACTCCAGTCCGGAGAGGGTCAAAAAGATTAAGAGATTCCTATTCCGGAGATCTAGCTCCCGTTGATCGTCAAGGCACAAATCTGAAGACTGGCAACAAGAAGCGCAAATCCCCAAGTCCTGGGTTAGGAGCTGCTGAGAGCTCATCAAGCGCATTGGCAAACGGGTCGGTGAACGTCCGTCTTCTGCTCAAAGAATTGCCTCTCTTCTCGAGCCTCCCTCCGGATATACTACATTTTCTTGGACTCAATGCGCAACCGCGATCATATCCCCCGTTCACCGACATCATCCGACAGGATTCTCAGGGACGGGAGATCTATTTCATTGTACGTGGGGAAGTTGAGGTTCTATCAGAGAGGACGGACATACAAGACAAACAGTCTCTGCCGAACGGGATCGACACACCGGCCTTTGACGTAAAAGCAAGGCTCAAACAAGGGCAATATTTTGGAGAGGTCGTGAGCCTTTCTCTGGCACCTCGCCGCACTGCAACCGTACGGTCTGTCACGGCTGTTGAATGTCTCATGCTCAGTGGGGATGTCCTTGCTGAGTTCTGGGACAAGTTGCCCCAAGATGTCCGCCAGCAAGTTGAGAACACGGCCAAGGAAAGACTTCAGGCTGCTTCCGATGGAGACGTCGTGATGTCAGATGCCGGAAGCGCTGACCAGCCCGTCGATGGAGATTTCCAAATTAGAGCATCTCGGAGACAGTCAATGCCTCTTTTAACGCTCACAGAGACAGAACTGGATACACCACGTGCCCCCAATGGCATGGAAGACCAGAATGTGTTGAAACCATCGGATCCCGACCCATTCTTGAACGTTGGCTTGGATAATGTTCGGCTTCGAAGTCGGCGCGGATCGGTTGCGCCGCTGACACCAGAGGAGGTGTCTGGTGACCAACAGCGACAGTCGCCTCCACAAGCTTCTCGTTCCGCGAGATCGTCTCTCATGTCCCTTTCCGAGACGTCGGTTCTATCGACAGCCTCGAAAACACAGCGTGAATCTCGGCAAGATAACCTCGGAATTCTTCCCGATAATATACTGATCAAGGTCTTCCAATATCTGAACCTGCATGATCTTCTTCGCTTTCGGGCTGTTTCCCTGCATTGGTCGGAGATACTCAGCACATCCAGCGAACTGGTGCGACACCTCGATTTGAGCATGTACAATCGTCACCTCACGGATGACGTCCTAGTCAAAGTCATCTGCCCGTTTGTCGGTGAAAGACCACACTATGTCAACATCAGCAATTGTTTTCACATCACCGACGAAGGCTTTTCCAAGTTAGCCACCACATGTGGTGCTAACGTCACCGCTTGGAAGATGAAAAGTGTCTGGGATGTAACTGCATCTGCAGTTCTCGAAATGGCTAGCAAAGCAACAGGTTTAGAAGAGGTCGATCTAAGCAACTGCAGAAAGGTTGGCGACACCCTACTAGCTCGACTCATTGGCTGGGTCGTACCTGGACAGCACAAACCCAATGGCGAACCGGCGAAATCGGGAAAAGCAGTCGTAAAACCTACCATGCAAACCGAAGCTGGCACCGTATATGGCTGCCCCAAGTTGAAAAGGCTGACCCTTTCATACTGCAAGCATGTCACCGATCGTTCGATGCATCATATCGCGTCTCACGCTGCCTCTAGGATAGAGCAAATGGATCTGACACGATGTACGACAATAACAGATCAAGGCTTTCAGTACTGGGGAAACGCCCAATTTACCAATCTGCGCAAATTATGTCTGGCAGACTGTACTTACCTCACCGACAACGCCATTATCTATCTGACAAACGCCGCCAAACAGCTACAGGAGCTGGATTTGGTAAGATTGTCTGATTGCCTGGCGTCACGGCGGATATGCTGACAACTCACTAGTCTTTTTGCTGTGCCTTATCCGATACAGCAACAGAAGTACTCGCACTCCAGTGCTCGCAATTGACTTATCTGAATATGTCATTTTGCGGATCTGCGATTTCGGATCCATCTCTTCGTAGCATTGGACTCCATCTTTTGCACCTGAAACGACTTTCTGTGCGTGGCTGTGTTCGAGTCACTGGGGTGGGCGTTGAAGCAGTGGCAGATGGCTGTAATCAGCTGGACTCTTTTGATGTGAGCCAGTGCAAAAACCTAGCCCCTTGGCTCGAAGACGGCGGGGCCCTCAAATACAAGAACAGGATTACTTTCGAGACAGTCGCACAGAATGGGATCGTGTTCCGGTGACTCAACACCTGCAACAATGTCCAATCTGCCATCCCTACGTTGGACCACACCAAGACTCTTGACGGGTCACGTTGCTCTTCGCATGAAATAATCCTCTCTGTTTCTTGAATACTTATTCATCAGATCTTCTACGGCCTTACTATCGTTCCTCCTCTCCGCCAACTATAATCTTCTTAATCTTCGATGCTACCCCCCAGCCAAGCCTTTTGATATCCTTTTGAGCCACAGTCAACAACCGCCCCAGTATCGGTGTATCGCATTCAGACTCATAACATCAACATGGAGCAGGACCTCTCTTGGCCATATTTCCTCCCTTTTCCCCTTTGTTTTCTTTTAATGTGCTGGGTCACTTTCTGCATTGGAATTTGGGCATGGATGGAGTTCGCATGAAGGAAGAGCATGCATGAGAGCATTCTCCCCCAAAAGAATGGCTTGGTGACGCTACGAATTACTTTGGACTTGATGAGATACCATTTCCCTTGGTCGTCAATCTCTTGTACCTTAAAAATTTCGTGTCTTAATCATGTTTTTGGATCTATGAAACGAATGAATAGACGACTCTGGACCTTCCATCGCCTCTCGCGTGTCCTCGAAACATGAGCACGTTTGAAGTTCCTTGTTCGCAATTTCTTTGTCTTTGTGAGCTAGCATTGTAGCTTCCAATAGACTCTGTCAATGTGTCGACATCTCTCCAGTGAAGAATACCTTTGTTCTGCAAACGAAGGTAGGGTAAAGCAGGAAAATGAAACAAGTTTTTCAGGACCCAAGAGAAAGTTAGATCTTCTTTGTCTGCCGCGCTTGAATCTCATTTCCAGATAATAACTATCCAAAAAGAAGTGTTTTATCGCTTTGATCTAGGGGAGGGGATCATTCTTACAAGGTCCTTCACGCTTTAAACTGCTTTAACCTCCAGTCTCAGCCATGATCCATGAACAACGCCATCCCTAGAGGCTGCCAGCAACCATGATCACTATTCCCTTTCCCTTCTATCTTGCTCATGCACTAGGTTCTTTCGACCTAATACCTTTGTCCAGATCGGCATTGTGTACTCAAATACCATATCCTCTTTGATGGCGAAAGAAATGTTGATATCCCACATCAATTAGGATATAAAGTACGGCATTCTCCATCTGCATCATCAGTATACCTGACAAGAATCAACGCCTCATTGGCACAATTGCCTCTTCTTTTCGTCTTTTCTTGTAGTATTCCTAATCTTCTAGGGGCTCCTTCCAGAATTCCTTCACCGCGTCCGACTACACCAGCGAAAAACGCATACGTTGTGAGTATACTACTGCCTACATGGCAGGGCAGAAGCGGAAGATCGATGAGATAACGAGTCCGAGCGATAATGACAACCAGACTAATCGTGCTCAGGTCCCGGATCCGGACACAGGGCTCATCGGTAAACGGCCCAGGCTGTTGATCGCGGGGACGGCTGGCCAAGGACCGGCTATGCCCGCCGTCGTTGGGAGCAAGTTTGGAATTGGTGAGGCCCTTGGTAGTGGAGATCCCCCAGCGAAGAAAGGAGAGGGGAAGGGGAAACGACGGCTGGAACAAGTCAACACCGATGACGAAGAGGATGGGGAGGGCGAAGACGAAGACAATAATGGCGAGGGTGAGGAAGAAGAGGTAGAGACGCCGGCTGACAACAGAAAAGTCACCGCAGGACCATCGAGGAAAGCAGCGCCGCCAAAGAAGCAGCCCCGTCGTCGAAGACGAGGGGATCCGGAACCAGATTACTCGGAGACCATGCGTCTAAAGATGAAGAGTACCAAACGGACTGGCCAGGCGTGTGACCGTTGCAGGGTAAGTGGCAGTGCCCCGTCCCATGATTCTTTAGCCCATCTGGAGGCCAGTAAATGAGTACAGCATGGCCCGCTGTGAGTGGACTCCTTTCCATTCTCTTCCTTCGTGCTCTATTCACTGGCCCCTAGGGAGTCATCTTCTGGCCATACATATGTACTCGTCCCTATCTCTTAGGCAGAGACTGACTATATTGATTCTTCTAGGTGCGCAAATTGCGATGCGATCGCAATCTTAGCGGTTGTTCTCAGTGTGATGCTGCTGGAGTACCTTGCAACACGACTGACAGAGCCACGGGTACGACTCAAACCCGGGGAGCCCTACAGGAATGCGAACAGGGCAGAGAGCAACTGAGACAAGAAAACGCAAGACTCCGCGCAGAGATCGAACAGCTGAGGCAGCAAAATACGACCTTGCGGCAGCAGTTGTTGATCTACGAGAACATGTTCCCCACACAGAATGTGAGCCTCAATTTCCTCTACCCACACCCATAACCAAATCTATAGGCCAAGTGCTGATTTGGAAGCAGATGAATGTTCCAAACGAGCCACCGGTAAGACACACCCCTACTTACTGGCCACCCCCGGGTGCGAATGACCAGTATCACCAGCCGCCCTACGATGCATGGTCAAGCAATGCCGTCTACGATATTCTCGACAACTTTCCTCCATTAACACAACAGTTTGCCCCCAACCTACTCAACGCCCCCGAAAGATACGATATAGACCAAATACTACCGCTCCCTCCTGATTTCCAGCCTGCCCAGCAGGAGCAGATTCCTATTCGTGCTGACCCTTTCACGCTGCCCCTTCCAGCCAACAATCCTCCGCTAACTAACCTCAATGCTGGAAATCTAGCTGTGAACCCTGATCCAACTGACCATGCACAGACCCTACTCCAGCTCGAGCAGGAGCGAGTGGAGCTAGAGCGATTCTTTGACCTGGCTGTCAGGGATATTGCTCCCCAACAACAAGGAGGAAACGATGCCTTTCAGCAGAATGATTTGGCTGCTAATGATGTACCAGTTGCCAATGACGGAGCCCAAGCACTTGAGTATTTCACATTTCAGCCTCCTCAAGGGGGCAGTAATGACTTCCAGCAGAATGGCCGAAGTGGCGATGATGGGGCCCCATTTAGATAAAGCAGTAGCATTGATTTTATAAGCAAAGAGTTCTGAATGGACATAATACAGTCGATTTCGAAAACAGATTACCCTGGCGACACTGGCTTTGTTTCTTGGCCCGTACCTGAGTATACACTAAATCTGTATCAGGAGAAGCTGTAAATAATCCTTTTTTAAGAATAGATTCATTATAGAACGAACTACGGAGTAAAACGATTGAATAACATAAAATACTGTATATTACACGTAGCTCCTATACACTCCTACCTCCAGTGCCACTCCCATGCCCTTTCTTGCATCCATCCTCCCGCAAAGACCTCTTACCTCGAGTATTGCAAGAATCATATGCACAATATGGCACCGAGACTACCTGCCTCAAGGCTACACTTTATTCGTGATATTATACAAGCCCAGTCACTAACCACGTCTCAAATGGCGGAAGAAGCTGAATGCAGTGAACAGACGATCAAAAATATCCGCAAGAACTAGCGACTGTTCGGGAGCGTCCATGGCCCTCCCCCGAGCGCGACTAGTCCGAGAACCAGTCACAACCAACGACAGCGATGAAGGTCGATGTCGGACGTCGTGTTCTTTCGAGTTTCCGGAAGCTGAGGTCTCGTGCGGCTTGTGGTCATCAGTTACGAACGCCTGCCCTTTCTCAAGCATCTTCACGATCATTCTTAATGACCGCTACGCTTCCTACCTATCGCAAAAGCCTCGCCATCCGCACGATAAAGACTCTCTCCAAGCAAATGACAGCAGCCAGTCCCGAATTTGAGCACTTCTTTCGTTATACAAGTGGGCGATGGCTCTGGGATGAAGAACAGCAGCTTCGGGACCGCTATAAGGCCTTCAATGTTGCTGAGCTTCAAGGCTTAGCAGCCCGAGCCATTGGCTCAGGCAGCTGCGTCTCGATGACTAAGTTGGCAGAGGGAGGATATAACAAGGTCTTCCGTTTGGTTATGGATGACGGAAAATCAGTCCTTGCCCGTATTCCAAACCCAAATGCCGGTCCCTCATTTCATACGACTGCGTCCGAAGTTGCTACCATGGAGTTCGTAAGTTAAGCATGCCACGGTCAAGCGCAAGAGGCGGCCTGCTGATCCTCTTGCAAGGCTCGAGATTTCCTCCAAATTCCCGTGCCCCAGGTATTGGGTTGGAGTGCCACATCTAATAACCCAGCTGGCTCGGAATATATCTTTATGGAAGAGGCAACTGGCACGCAGCTTGGAGTGATTTGGGATGAGCTGAGTCCAGATTTCAAAACTCTCCATAATGAGAGAAGTGGTGTCTATTGAGTCAAAGATGCTGTCCGTGTCATTTTCACAGTAAGTTTACTTTCACACTCACGGTGGCGTGCAAAATCTGATCTGTTTCTCGTCAGCTATGGCAGCATATATTTTGCGAGTGATGCAGTTGAGGGAGCAGTCCCCGCCAAGCTCACCAGTGAGGCTCCATCAGAACTCAAAGAGCATATATACAAGACATTCAGTATTGGACCTACTGTCGACAGGGATTTCTGGCGCAGGGAGCGTTCTTCAATGGACATCTCACGGGGTCCCTGTAGGCATCACCACGGTCATGTGATAATTCATTTGGCTAATTGTCACTAGGGTCAACTCCCACGGATTATGCGTTATGTGTTGGCCAGCGCGAAATGGCGTTGATCAAAAATTACGCCGTTCCAAAACCACCTAGTGACGCCTCGTTGGTCTCAACGGCCCAAAAAAGTCCTGAAGCGCATCTGCAGCTGCTAGAAAAGTATCTCAAAGTGGCCCCCTCCCTTATGGACATTGATCCCATCCTCACTCGCCCTACATTGTGGCATAGAGACCTTCATTCCTCTAATCTCTTTGTGGATGATGGCCATATAACGGCTGTCATTGATTGGCAAGGGTCGTTGGCGGGCCCACTCTTCCTTCAAGCTCAGCCATCCCCGCTTGTGGACTACCAAGGCAGCATTCTACTTCAACGCCCTGAAAATTTTGACGATCTCGACCCTGAGCATCAAGCTCAGATCAAACAAAAAATATTCAAATCGACGCTATTCCAGCTTTATCTGTTGGAAACCAAGAAACGGTCCCCTCTGCTTTCCAGAGCATTCCATCTAGACCATGGGAAGACAAGGCGCCTTCCAATCGAACTAGCCGGAAATACGTGGGATGATGAAATTGTCTCCTTTCGTGAGGCACTCATTAACGTTGAAAGGTAAATTACTCGATACTGCTCTGTTCTCCGTTTGGTATTCAATTTCTTTGTTAGGTATTGGCATGAACTTGGCATCCAAGGCGATTGCCCGTATCACTTCACGCAGGCTGAATTACATAACCACTCATTTGACGCTAATGGATGGAATGAGGTCCAGGACTTTTTTGACAGTATAGAAGGTCTTGTGAAAAGGGATGGCTGGACAAGTCTTGAAACGTTCGACGCTGCTTTCGGATTCTTCTCGGAACTCAGAAAACGGGGTCTTGGGCATTTGAAAGGCGATGAAAGGGACATTTTCAAAAGACAGACCCGTTGGGCCAAGAACACAAGCTCACCACCGAGCGTCTAGGATGCCACAGCAAAGCGTGCGAACGGCAAATAGTCTGCGAGTTACGGTATCTAAACGCCAACTTGATTCCAAGTAAATAGCGCGCACTGAACTCATCATGGGAGCAACATCCTGCTATTATCTATATCTTAACGAATGCATCCAGGCGGAACTAAAACAACGCCAAAACGCTGCACTCTACGCCAACACATTCTTTACACCACCTTCAGAGCGGGAATTGCCTTCTTCACGTTCTCTACCCAGTGTCGGATGTTTTCTACGGAACTTCGAGCAAATTCCGGGTTTTATCCCTTTGCCAACGAAGAATTCTGGGTTTTGATCCTTGTAGATGTGCTCAAGGTCAAAGCTATCTGACAGCGTTACGACAGACGCTTGTCGAAATGCAGCATTGAGGGTTTCATCAGATACATTTGATGCAAGCCACTCACCGTATTCTCTGACAGCAATGTCCCTGAACCCGGGGATTTTCAATGGGCCCATATTCTTCGACCCAGCTGAACCAACAGTCGTTTTTGTAGCCGGTATGTCCACCCCTGCAGGGTGCGATGGGAGAACATTGATGTTGATTGGTGGATACGGCGTTCTGGGCCCGGACATGTCACCCCCTTTGCGTTTTTCTCTCTCCAGCCTCTGCTGCTCCTCTGGATTAACCAGGAACGTCTTCGTGCGTCTCTAGGACACCACCTTTCTCACCGTAGGTGACCAGCCGTCTGGGGTTTGAGTTCGGAGTCGATAGTGTTTTCCCCCACTGGACTCAGCCAACAGTAGGGGCCTAAGTGGCACGCAGTTGAATCACATCTTAACGTCAACATCTCTCCTCCAACAGTAACAAGGAAAAGATACCCTACCTGCAAAGTGCCAAAGACTATCTCCTATGTATAAGCGTTTGGTAGTCTTTTTGACGACAACACTCATTCGCAACGATAATTATGAACTTTTGCACTGTCTCTGCCAAGAGTGCACACAGTCTATCATTGCCATACACAGTATGTAGTTCACTCGGACTGGGGGATGCGAAACTTGAAATACGAACGTGCTACTTACTCCACAAGGGACGATCAACCTTGGCACGCGTGCGTCAACCCCCGGTATATCCGATTTCTCAAGATAGTCGGCATTACGAAACTCAAGATCGAGCTTTGGATGGGAAGCCGGCCATGGCCCAAGTCTCGATGCAGAAGTCCTCCGTCACGGTCGAACCAGAGTAATTCTGCCCCTGAGATGGAGCAGCAAGCTAGAAACAGCCAAACAGGTTGGTGAGGCTTCATGATTGACAACCTCAGATCAAGCAAACAAAGGCTCCGAATAGTGTTACGGAGTACTGGGATTATCCGGGTTTTCTGCTATACATAGAAACACAGGCTACACAGCATGAGTGATCCTGACGATCAGACATCCAGACCAAAGACTAAAATAGACCTCCTGAAGTCGCTGGGTGAGAGACAGACAAGCTCAACTTTCTCATCAGATTCCAACCCAATACACTCTTTTCTATCTCTATATCCCAAAGTCAAGTCACTCATTCCACTCCCTTTCATCAGACAAGATGCGCTTCTCCTTCCTTGCTGCCCTCGCCCTCGTTGGCACTGCCTTGGCTGCTCCTGCGGGCCCTAACAGGTCCGCTGCTACGGTACGGAGGACCCGGGATGATATACAAGACTGATCAGTGTGATCGTAGAAGGCTAATGTGCATCGCTGTTAGATTCCCATCGGACAAACTTGCAATAAGGACGGCAGCATGGGCATCTGCGAGAGTGGATACTGTCTGGTACGTGCCATGAACTCCAAACGTCGCTGAGGATTTGCGTTAGTGGTTGGATACTGATCCTCTTCGGATGATGCAGCAAGACGAAAAGGCGGCTACCGGTACCTGCCAGGCGCAGTGAGAGAACAAGGTCTCCATTGATTTCTGAAATCGACTCCTCGCCATGGAAGATGGACCGTTTCGACACATTCCAAACCCAGATTTACATTATACCAAGGCCGAAGCCATGTATTTATTTTCGTTCCTAACATCCCCCAAAACCTGACATTTGTTCTCAAATGATATAACGCTGGGTACGCAATTGCCTTGCCCCCAAGGGTATCTCTATAGTTCCTAATGTAAAACATATCCAAAATCCAAACTCCTAAACCGAAGCCGTAAGCCCAAAGTCAGAATATAATCAAAGAAAAGATATGATCGCATCATTTATTATTCTTTCGGAAACAACAGCAAATGCCGTTGCTCTCACACCACTCCCTCAGAAACCCTGCACTGACTTCCCTGTCTTCATGCACTAACCCTAATCCCTCGGTATTAAGCCAGGTGGCGAAATCTTCGAGGATGATGGGATCATACATAAGAATCTTCTCATGCCAGCTCGGGCGCTTACAGCCTGCAGAAGAAGATCGAGGTTGCGCACGCACGGCCTTGTTTATTTGACTGCTAAGATCTGGCATGCCCGGCTTTGCGACCGCGTCAAAAGTAGACAGTATGATGCAGGATTCAGAATTTTTCCGCTCCTGGCTGGATGGAGAATCTGAAACAAGCAGTGGTTGGCTACCTCGAGTTTCTGATGAATGGAGCGTATACCGGTTTTGCAGTCTGCTGGGAGAAGGTATAAGCTCATCCTCAGAGTCTTCAATCTCCTCCACATTGGCAAAGGACGAATTTGAGGCCTGGCTGAATTCATTCGCCTCTTGCGCCTGTCTTCTTTTCAGATGTGCGCTTGCCTTGGGTTCAATTTTGGGGTTTGCACGCGTCTTTGGCGTCTCCGACAATGTTGCCGTCTTGCGCGTCCGCTTCTTGGTCTGACCCCGAGTAGTATCTGGTTCCGCCTTTTGATGGGCATGGATGTCTTTCCCCATATCTTGATTCTCTGCCTTTGTGGCCCCGTGCTTTGACTCCCAGCATTTCTCAAGCACCTCGACCATCTTCTTGCGACTTCTCATGGATTTGAAGCCGAATTTCTTGACTTCTTTGGACAGTTGGGAGTCGGTAAATTCCGCGTACTGTGGTATCCGGGGCGCCGCGGATTCTTTGGAAACAACCTCTTTGAGCTGACAATCAGCCGGCGGCGACAATTCAGGATCCTTGATGACTGCTTTTTCGTCGTCAGGCGACTTTTCTGCAGGAGTAGTTGATTGTTCTTGGAAGGAGGTGTCTGTCTCAATAGCATCGTAGCCAGTGTCCCCCTTCGTCAATGCTGCGGTCTCTGGGGAATCATCGGATTTAAGAGGAAGCTCAGATATTTTAGATATATTGACCATATCCAGAACCTCAATTTGAGCCAGCGAACCGTCCAAGTCTCTAGACGCTACAGACCACAGTTTTCTTGGCGTTGCAAAGCGGGATACTGTGGCTCTGTCTGAGAATTTGGAACCTGGCCTGGTAGCCGGATAAGCCTTCGGCTCTGCAGTCATATCATTTTCCGACGCACGTATCGCCATTTGCATGTCTCTCAACATCGTTGGCGAGTCCTCTCGCTCCAGCTGGCTGCACGTTCCAAACACCAGATCCTGCTCTTTTAGAAAGCTAACAGCAGCCTCGGGAGGAAGGACAGAAGAGTCGATGACATGGGATCTCGAACTTGATTTGCCTCGCTGTTGCACACTGGACCTGTTAGCGCTCGCATTGTTCACAACATCTCCGAAGGCAGCAGTAAATGCGCTTGCGCTATCCGAATCATCCGTAGCATCGTCCACATATAGTGCTGTCACTCTTCCAGTCAGGGTTGTAATTCTTTTGCTCCGTTTATTAGGTTTTTCTTCAAGAGCAGGTGCTTTCGAGGCTCGAGCACTATCAGGCAGTACATGTTTGACATTCGGGAATACCCTAGACTCCACAAGCTTCAAAGAAGTCAGCATTGGTTCCAGTATTCACCAAAACCAAGTAAACGCACCTCTATTCGCCGCCGCTTCGTTGCTGCGCCATCTTCAAGACGCTTAGAATTTGCCTCCAGGTCGGAAGAAGTGTTTGAATAACCGTAGCCAGATACGAGGTTACCGAACCGATTTTGGTCGGGCTCTCCGTCTACCATATCCAATGCGACAAGTTGCTTGCGAGTATCCTTGGTGGGTGTCCAATCCAGCCGTCTCTTCATGGCCGCATCGAGTTGTAGATCGTCAATGTCCCGGGTTTCTGCCTTTTCGATATCTGTTTTCCTCAAATATGGCTCGAAAGTCACTGGTTCTTCGGCCTTGAGTCCCGTTACGTCCGTCTGTGTACTGCCGGATTTTGCGACCTTGCCTGTTATCGTTCTATTCTTGGCTAGCGTACGTTTGACTCCAGCGTCACTCCTCTTTTTCCTGGCCTTAGGTTCCTTCTTCGGAGCCTCCTCATCGAGTTTCATGAGGGCATTGTTTGAGCCACGAATGACCGTCTGCGTATCCCCCTTCGTCTGGTCTTCCTTGCTCTTCTTTGACCTTCCTGTCGCTGATGCTGCCGCCTTTCGTTTCGTCGCATTCGGTTTGTTCGCTTTCGCCACTGTATTTGAGTCTTGCTTCGTGTTTGATGACACTACGGCTTTCTCGTCCTGTGCCTTGAAAAACCGGGAGCGGGTAGGTGGTTGGAACAGCTCCGACGGAGAAGGCAGCGGAGGAGGCGATGGGGACAACGGCGATAGACCAAAAAGTTTCTCCGGATTGTAATTTGACTGCGCCGGCGTTTGCGACGGGATATGGTCTGGCGAAGAAGAGGATAGAACGATCACTTCTGTACTGGAGGGCATGGTGGCGAACTGGAGTGGCAGCGATGGGCTATGTCTGTTCAAGAAAACATCAATGCAAGCGATACTTGTAACATCATGAGATTTCCAACTGCAAGCAAGCAGTTTATCAAAAGTTCATCGAGAGATCTTGTATTAATCGACCATGAGGTGGAAGTTCTCATGTCGGAGGACATATGAAGAAGATGAAGACGAGCTTACAGGGTGGTCTTGGCGAAGTTGTATAATTGCCGGTTTGGGAAATCTAATTTGGTGGGCAGGGCAACGGGTGGCATCTGCAACAAAAGCACATTGGGACACACCACAAAACTCTCCATCAAGCGTTCGCTGATGTCGAGAATGAAGTAATTGGCACTGAGATATCGTAAAAGCTAATGCTAAGGTACATTGTGGGTTGATCCCAGTTTTGTATTGAGTATAAATTTCGAATCCAAATGGTCAGATGATCAGAACATCGAAGGTCTGTCTTCAGGTGGTTGAAATGAAATCTATCCAAGAATCCATCCACAGAATATGTCGCGAGCTAGCGAGCATCAATCCAGCTCATGCAGAGATTGCCCGCCGTTTCCGATAGAATCGGCGTTGAGAGGAGAAACCACAGAGCGTCTGCTGGCCCTTCACCATATACCAATCTGGAATGTCAAAGCAGACCAGTGCAGAGGATGAAACAACTCTCTCCTCTCAAGGCGTCGGTTTTGAAGGCCCCATGAGACCAGGAGATAGTTGACTAGAAGGGTAAGACACTGCTCACGTCGCCCCTCGCAAAGCAATTGCGCCTATCAATGAAAGCTCGAGTCGGCGTTTATCGTCATCTTGAGCAGTACTCAGAGACCCCAATTTATAGGCTTTCTTGATCTTCGCAACATCCCCGATCTCGGATAACGATGTATCGGTGAATGGTACAGACAAGCCCTCAATGGATTGCTGTAAATGCTCCGCTACCGAGTTGTGAGTGATATCCGGCGTGACGGAGACTTTGACCACCAGCAGATCTTTCGTCAAGTCAGTAATGCCAAATTTGCGAAAAGATTCCGCGATCTACAGGCTGTTAATTTGGTTCTGGTAGATATAGAGCTACCGTTTGTTCTTCAACTTACATTGTTGGCAGGACTCAAAGAGAAGACTATCTCCGAGTGGACATTGCGCGACTTGAGACGCCCATTCAACGAATCATTGACGGCCCTAAAGATAGCAGAGAGAACATGGGCTCTTGAAAAGACCTAGCATCTTCTATTAGTATGATTTCTCCAGGGGATTTATCTGCAGAACCTACCATGCTCGCATCAATGAACGCATACTCGAAGTCTGCATTCCCCGAAAGCAGCTGCTGGCGAAGAAAAGGCGCATTATTAACATCGCGATAGAGACCGATATGTACGGGCAGATTCGAAGGCAGATGGGGCAGTTGTATAGTCTCCAATGACGCAGACATTTTGAAGGGCAGATACTTTATTGCTTTGAGGATCAATTGATAAGCAACGAAAGACGACTGAGTCAACCAATTCGAAAGAATAAGAAAAAAAAGAACTTCGCCAATACTAAGCCCAAATGCGTTCTAAGCTTGCTAACCTCGCGACAATGACAATCATGGCGTTAAAACGACCAGTAACTCCGATTCCTCCGTCTCCCAGTTCTCATGCTTTCTGTGCCCCTCCCCCACTATATCCGCATGAATAATCAACTTGTCACGTGATTGCGCTTCTCGAACGTTCGGGCAGCCGTATTGGCTGCGCCTTGGATGTCTGATATCGCCAATCCATTGCTTTAGATCGTCTCGTCATCTATTTAAACTCCCTGTTAGCCATCATTTCAACTCCCCGACTTCATCACTGACACCATAATCACCTAGACATTTTATCACAAAATCATGGCGTTCTTTCTAAGGCGCCCGTTTGCCGTCCCGACGGCTCTCCGTCAGGTACCGAAGGCAGCCAACACTGCTCGATTCATCCACAATACACCTTTCAAGTCTGTTCAGTCGAATCCTCTGGGGCCTGCCTCGTCCTCGATTGTCGCGCAATCCAGAAAGACCTTCCAGAATGCCTTCCGACGCACATATATGCAACCGACTTATGGCGCCGCTCAGAGTGGCAATCTCACCCAACGCCTGCTGTACGGTGCGGCCATCGTCGGTGGAACTATCATGGCTACGAACTTCATTTTTAACCGTGAGACAAGAGAAGATGGCGGCATGCCATCTTACGAACAGAGCTACTTGAACGAGACTTTCATGCACACTGGACTTGGTATTGGTATTATCGGTATTGCCGCTAGAGCTCTGCACATGAACGGATGGTCCTATCGTTTGATGGCCACCAACCCTTGGTTGGTTGCCGGTGTTGGTTTGGTCGCAAGCATGGGTACGATGTTCGGTACTTTCTACACTTCTCCTGATAAGTGAGTGCCCTGGTTTGAAATTAATTATCCTGCTATTTTATCCTGGTGGGATAGTTTTGCTAATTGTTGTCTAGCTACGTCATGAAGTACGGCATGTGGGCAGCTTTCAATGTCACACAAGCTGCGCTCCTTTCTCCTCTGATGTTCATGCACCCTGCACTGCTTGCTCGTGCCGGTCTTTACACTGTTGGTATGATGGGCTCCATCGCATTTGTCGGCGCCACCGCCAAGCAGGAGAAGTACCTGTACCTCGGTGCTCCTCTTCTGGCCGGTGTGACCATCGTGGCTCTTTCCGGCCTGGCTCCCCTTGTTCTCCCCGCTACTGCCACCCGTGCTCTGATGTGGTCTGAGAAGATTTGGCTGTATGGCGGTCTCGCTGTCTTTGGTGGCTTCACCCTCTATGACGTCCAGAAGATCTTGCACCACGCTCGCTTGGCTCAGAGAGGTCTCGCCCGCCGGGATGTTGTTAACGAGAGCATCAGCCTTGAATTGGACTTCATCAACATCTTCGTCCGTATGGTCCAGATCCTGGCTATGCAGCGCAACAACCGGAAGTAAGCGGAGAAACATTCTATGAAACGAATCACTTGCAAATGAGTGAATTCCCCAACACCTTCGATGGAATGCTCTGCTCTCACTTTTGCTCCAATCAAGCCTGTGTAAAATCAGACTGGGGCAGGGACACGAAGGAATTTGGTCTCATTTCGATTGACATTTTTAAGAAATGTCGTTTGTATGATAAAGATGAAGAATCCAGCTAGCTCATAACTGGGTCTGTACGTTACGGGTTTGGAGTTTGCGGATCTATTGCAATGGCTGGCAGTCAAACACGACGCGCTTAAGCTCCCTACAACACTGGATAGAGGGGGGTTCTCAGAAACTACAGCACAAATTTCAGAAATTGTACTAGCTACAAGACAAACTCCACTCGGGTATATTAAACATATATAAAAAATTAAAAAAAAAACAATATAAGTGCTATTTAAGTTTACTCATTTTACAGATCTCAACACTCCAAAGAAAGATTATGCCTTCATGTATAAAGCAAATAAACTTGACAGCAAGCATCACAAGCATACCAAGAACAATCATCACTAATCATACTGTACAAGTTGTGACAAAGCCTATGATTATTGATGACAAGGTCAGGATGGACCAAGCGACGACCTTGCTCCCAGAGGACCGCATTGGTCTCTTTTTCAGCGTAAGGTATGTCGGCTCGTTCGATATCTGAAACCCACACAGACCACTGCCTTCCATCATATTGACGGGAAATAAGACCCGAGGTTCTCCTTTGTCCATGTCTATCTTGAGAAGTCCCATATCATTGACCAAGTAACTGACACAGCTAAGCACATCCATAACCACAAACCCCGGCTGGTAGCCAATTGGCATGTCCAGCTCGTATTTGCTACTGTTCGCGCCCTGGGTCGATAAGACCATCACAAGTTGACGGCCCTCCTGGCCTTTGCGGAAACCCATCTCACTTCGGCCTGTGTAGATAGGGTAGGTTTGTGTCTCCAGGTATGCTGGATCGATCTGGGCTGCGTGCTTGCGGATCCTGTTCAATTTTCCAACAAGCTGGTAGAGAGGGGCATTCGTGTCATAACTCGATAACCATAAGGCTTCGCGATTCTCGGGGTCACTTGCACCTGAGAAATGCTGTTCTTGGCCCTGGTAGATCATCGGGATACCGTCAAAGAGGATCGTGAATGTGAGGACGTTCTTGGCAAGCTGTGTCCGTGTCAGTCTTTTACAGTCCAAAAAAAGTGCAGAAAGGCCTGGATCTTTTTTTCTTACTGCAATGTCATCCTTCATGCTAGCAAATCGGGCGACATCATGGTTCTCCGAGAATGAGGTCAAGGCCGTTACGTTAGGACAAGTCTGTTTCATAACCTCGACTTGATTCGTCAACGAACTCGTATTGGCCTTGGTGAATGCCTCAAGAATTGAGTAGTAGATAGGATAATTCGGAACACTGGGAAGGTCATTCTGGTATTCGCAGATTGTCTTCACTGAGGGTTCGAAGACCTCGCCGGTAATAAAGGCGCCAGATGCATTTTGGAACGATGGCAAGAAGGTAGGGGTAATATGCTTTGCTGCATCCAGACGCAACCCGTCAATGCTATATGTAGACATGGTCTGTTTGATCCAGTCTTCAAGCATGCTCTGCACTTTGCTATCTTCTGTCTTCAAGTCTGGAAGAGGAATAATGTCGTCGCCCGTCCAGCACCGTTGCGCCATGGGATAGTCATTATAGTCGGTAATCTTGCAATATGGATGGAAGAACTTCGGATCGTTGAAAGGACTGAGAACTGTATAATCAATGCTAGTTGCCGGGTTTCCACCGTCGGTGATGTATGCCATGTTGTTGATAACAGTATCTACCATCAAGTACATGCCTCGATCATGGAGAGCTTTACTCAAGTCAAGCAGATCTTGATGCGTGCCGAAGTGTGAATTCAACGCATACATGTCTTGAATCCAGTATCCATGATAGGCTTCTCCGTAGGGTACACGTCCTTCCACATTCTGGGAGATTGGAGAAATCATAATGGCGTCAAATCCCATTCCCTGAATGTAATCAAGATGGTCAATTGTCCCTCTCCACGTGCCACCACAACGCAGCCCTTCTGTTGTATTGCATGGATAAGTGGTGGAACTGTCTGATCGTGCAAATCTATCTGTCATGGTCTGGTAGATGGACCTCGACTTCCACGCATCTGTATCTGCGGCCCATGCTGGTACGAGAAGGGCAAGTGCTGCAATAATGCAGAGCCGTTGCAGATGCCTCAATGAAAATGACATGAAGCAGGATTCCTTTCCAAAGAAAAGCAAAATCAAGAGAAAAAAGGGCAAGGCTGCATCAAAATCCTCAGATGGAAAAATACCAGCAGTCGTATTGGAATCCGTCACCTGGGAGATTCATACAGCCAGCGAGAAGTATGTCGTAGACTGTCCACTATCCTGCTGAAATCTAAAGCTCGTCGTATTGTTTCCAAGTGAATATTGACCGGATCGTATGTCATTAAAGAATCGCTGGCATCTGCGAAAATGATGTATAGTCAAGGATCGGCAGCGAGTGACAGTATAGTTAAACAAATTTTAGACATATATCAATGCCAAAGGAAAGCACATAGCAACTGCGTTCAGTTTGGAGGAGCGGCAGTATACCATCGATAGAACGAATATATAAGGACTGGAAGATCAATTACTGAACAGGAAGAGAGAGATTCATCCAAGCCATAGAGAGAGAGAAGAGAATGACGACGTCAAAAGGACTGTAAAGAGTGCAGAGAACACAACTGAGAAGAGATGTGTTCTCAAAATGTATGGTCATTAACCATCCGATGACAAACGACTGTAGAGAGAGCAACAAGGGAGCTCTCTGGCTAGAACATATCCATCCTTTTCATTTCAATTGAATGTGTAAGTCTCATTTCCGCTCGACAAGTTGTAGAATAAGGCAGAAAGAGTATCATTTACTCTGATCATCAACAGTCTTTATGCTTCAATCAGTATTTGCGTCTCGTCCCTGCTTCTTGTGAGACATGTATCAACTGCATAATGCACCAATTTCCAGGGGCAAGGGACGTTGCAGCATTGATCTGCTCTTCAAAGCTTGGTCGAGCTATTCATATGATAAAATTAAGTATGCTTTGCTCACATATTGGACTACAAGCTTCGGTATATGCTGGCATCGTCGCGGGTCGCCTTTTGCAAAGGGCTGAACTGAGGTCAATGATAGTAGAAGAGAATGAACAGAGGACACTCTGTGTCTTGCACAAGCCTCGACCTCCTTTTGGTTGGCGCCATCGTTGTGTAGTGTTGATTGGCAGTACCCTATCTTCATCAGCATCAATCATCATCATGTATGGGCTGCTCCCGAAAGGAGATCTTCATATTGAGGTCAGATTGAGCGAGCGAGGACGAAAAGTCTCAACATGGCATTGTGGACAAGCTTCAATCTCTCTCGGCGTGGCCATCCTTCGAATCATGCAAGGGTGGGAGCAACGAAGGGAGAGAAGAGTCAGAAGCACGCTTTCTCTCAACGCTCAGATCGAGTTTTAGCCTGAGCTGTTGAGTCCTATGATTGGCATCTTCGAAAGCTATAATTTGACGATCTCAAATCCCTCAATCAAAATAGTGGTGTAGTGTCGGTTATTGAAGTTGACGATGGTGGTTGGGAGGACGAAGGATGACAAACCTCCGTCAGGTGTCGATAGTTCGATACCCCAACTTCTTGCAGCTTTAATCCCACGTCTGATTAACAAACGACATTTTTTTGGCATTACGACCAGGGGCAATAATTATGCTCAGGGCTACTCAAGTCGAAGAATGGCCTTACGGCAAAAAAGTCATATTTATTACCCGCATTTCCATATCTACTTTCCTCCGAACTGCAACTTCATGATCTTGGGATAGGAAATATAGTACATTCTCTTGCATCATATTCATCAATTCAATCTGGTCCCATCACCCTTCATGTTAATTCTGAAAAATTTGTCAGCAAGAGTATATTGCCGTCCAGGACCATTGAAACTCACAAGGTTTGCCAGAAAGTGCTTCATAAACGTCGTTAGATATCAGAGCCGTTGGATATCCCAGCATCAACATGCATTGAGCCGCGACAAATCAATGCTCCTCAATCACTTGATGACACTGAACCCAAGTAGTTCTCACTCATAGGCCAATGCATGATTCACCATGTTCATCAAACTCCATCAAGAGACAATGGCCTTCTTCGGTTTCGCTTCAACAACGTCCGACTCCTTGGAAACCTTGCTTGGCCATAATTGACGCTCGATTTGTTTCCAATTTAAGCCTGCCACTTCTGGGGCCCCTGCCATGTTCACTAGAAGACACCAATGCTCTTTCGAGATTCTGTGGAAAGTCCCCAAGATAAGGGCCACAGTTTTCCATCCATGGATCCGTTCACCGGGGAGTAGAACCTCGATATTTTGTTCCTTCCAGTCGCAGCAGTACATCTTGGTGTACAATTTACTTTCTTCTGCGGGCATAAACCCGAAATGCTTCGTCTTGACGCGCATCTTGTGTCCTTTGACAGCACACATTGCTTGTTTCAGTTGCAGCTTCAGGAAGAGTGAATTGTCGTCAAGACCATGCAGATTGACAAGGTGGAAAGTGCGTGCCTCGAGCTTCAGATAAGTGACATGGGTCATTTTGCGTGTTTCGGAGTTCTTGATTATCTCACGTATCGTCATGGTGTGCTGGATCAGGTCGAAGAACACATCGAGCTCACCGGGCTGGTGTATCTGGCAGATCTGCTCGGTTTCCGCACCACGCAGGAAAATTTCAATACATGGAGGCTTCACTGGAGGCTTCTTGGGAGGCGGATGGCAAGTACAGGTTGGATCGTCACTAATCCCCCGAATGAGGTAATGGGTCAGCAATGGATGGTTTCGAGTGTTGTGTCTTGAAGCTCACCAGCGCGGCATATTGAGGTTGATTCGAAGCCTTCAATCTTGAGGACAGAATCTTCTGCAGATTAAAATTGGATACTGTGTTGTTTGAAGCTGGGTTCTCAGAGGTTGGAGTGCACTGAAAGGTAGAGGTCAGTGACGAGATGTGAGATGCCTCATTTTATAGAGGTGGCAGGGCATCATTCACTCTCTACACGCCAGCAGCACTATATGTGAATACATAACGGAATATGCCGTTAAAAATTCACTGAACAGAGAGTAAAGATCTCTTCAATCTCATCTACGTGTGAGTATCTCTCTAATTATCCTTCAGGTGTTCGACCACATGCTATCCCACCTTGAGGAGTATGAGTGTGTTCCAGAATGACAAGCTTATTCACATGGCTTTTATGTGATATAGCCTCAATAATAATGCGAAGTGTTGAACATTCTTTAACGCGGAACAGCTCATAGTCACGTCAGCATATGGTTCAAAGCTTTACTGCCGAAGAAACACAAGTTGAGAAGCTATCAAGGATAAATCTACCTCAGTGAAATAATGACATATAGCCTTCCATCACAGTCTTCAGTTAATTCCAACACTGATGAACCACATGAGCTACACCGGATCTACAATCCTCTCAGAAGTCTCCCACGTCCATCAGACATTAATCTTAATAGTTGGATTCTTACATTTCAAACTATCTAGTTCTTCTGGGCCCGTACTCTCGATCTACTGCGATCGATGTCTGGCCTTGTGGGAAGCTATAGTACAAAATTTCCAATCCAATTGGAGAAGACGATGGCCATCAAAGAGTAAAAGTAGCCCGTGGTAGCTCGTCTAAATGGGTTTTCAATGATGCTCCATTGAGAACTGATTGACTATCAAAATTTGACATATTCAGTTTTGAAGATGTCAACAGCCTTTTCATCTGATGCCATATTCTCAGCGCAAATGATATTGATTGATTATGTAATCTCATAGCCAAGCTTTGGCGATGTCGAATATTAGTGATGCCGCATCGCAAGCAGCATTTATTGTCTCAACAGCAGTCGATACCTTTCCCGCCGTTCTGCCTATCTGTTACCTGCCAGTATCACCAGCTTGAACAGGCAATCATAATGTCGGCAGAAATGGAAGTTGACCCTCCAGTCTCGCAGGAGCAGGAGGAAGTCCCTCAAACGCAATCTGGTAACGATCCTCGAACACAGGCAGGAGCTGTTGCAGTGCGCAGTATCGAAGGATGGATCATCATCGCAACAAATATCCATGAAGAAGCGTCTGAGGAAGATGTGACGGATCTATTCGCCGAGTATGGGGAGATCAAGAACTTCAGTCTGAACCTTGATCGCCGGACGGGTTATGTCAAGGTGGGTTGTCACTATCTATTATCACCTATCTGCTTTGCAGCGGACCTCGCTCGGCTTTACGTTCTGCCAACTTATATCCTTCCTGAATGTGCTGGTTCTAATCGATTCTTTGCTAGGGATACGCGTTGATTGAGTACTCTACCCTCCCGGAGGCATCTGATGCCATCAAGGCCCTCAATGGAACCAAGTTGCTGGACCAGACAATTCAAGTTGACTACGCCTTTGTCCGTCCCCCTCCTTCGAACAAAGGGAAAAACGGAGCGCAGAAGGGTGGCCGTGGTGGAAGAGCCCGGAGCAGAAGCCGCGACAGGAGTCGCAGCCCGGGTGCCGACAACGAAAGGGATTAGGAAATGAATTACGATCTGAACGAGCATTTCACTTTGTGTTTCTTCCCTGCTGCTTGAGGCTTCTATCTTTTGCTTACCTTTCTCCTCGAATAAACCACGATGGATGATTTTCGGAGCAGCAACATCGATGATCTTGGGATGCGGTGCTTTCAAGTATGGATTGGTCTTGCCTGGAATGACTGCCGTGTGAGGGCTCATCGTATTTATGCCGCCGGCATTATCTTTCCCGCAATAAGGTGTCTCGTTTCTTACGAGAAGTGGGAAGATAGTTGTCGGCGCTGTGGCTTGTTTACAGCGTTGTAAGTATCTCAAGAATCTTTCTTCGAGAGTCTCTCAAGCCTTCGCTTGCTAACACCTAGTCAAGAATATACAGAATGATTGAAATTACAACCAATAAGATATCCATCGAGCTTTGCCGAGGTATTTTGCCTATATCCTGTAATAATACCATCGGAAAGGCACTCCATACATCGCGGACACTCACCTTCCTCTTCGTTGCAAGGATTAATCAATCACTCTATACGTGAAACCTAGACCGGTATATACCCCGTCTCTTCGAACGGGGATATTGAATGTATGAGAATATGGAATTGCAGCCTCGGTCATCACAAGATCAGTCACCTAGTTATATGAGGTCGAAGAGTAGGATCGCGTGATATCATTCCAGATCGACAAGCCACAAAGTGGAGAGGTCTCCAATGCAGGAAAGATTTGCCTGCGAACCCTTGTTCAAGTAGCAAGTAACTGGTATAATCATGGACGCTTCAACCTATAGATATCTATCTAGATACTGTCTTCCTCATTGTAGGGTCCCTGCGTGGGTTTCCTGGGCCGCTTTCGTCCAGCCGGAGATTTCCCCGCAGTCCAAGTGCAAATCCATTTAGCATCAACAACCTTGACAACCTTCTCTTCCATGCTGCTGCAAGTCCACAGCCAGCACAACTACACGGCATGACATGACGTACACCTCATTGCTCTCAATTGGTGGTAGGTCGCCTTCTTATCTCTATAGTTACTTGCATTCTCTACACAAACAGATAGAATCTGTGATTCACGGAGATCTGATCAGTTACACTCGCTCACTGAAATACGCGCAAGCTTTCTGCGGATGATTGATTGACAGAAGCTCGCCTCGGACATCATGGCGTTATTTATATTCCTTCTTTTTTATCTCCGCATAGTATTTATACATTTTGGGTCTGTTGCGCTGGCGCAACGTCCTCAGGATGTGCTTTCCCCGCAACAACCTTTCGCAGATGAGCAGGAAGTGCTCAGTAACTCAGGCAGACCGATACAAGAATGGCCATTGACACCGCCCAACCCGACTCACGAAACTGGCGATTCCATCCGTAGCACGTTGAAGGATCTTGTGGATGCCCTGGGTGTGATGCAAAATGAATATTTTGAGCTATGGCAGGGCAAATGGCCGACTGCGATCGACTGGACTGCAGCTGTCTTAGGGACACATGTCGCCGCTACACTCTCGTCATTGACGTCTACTGTGGGCGATCATCTGCTATCGACACTATCACCAGATACCGATGACGTCCAGAATGAACGCGAATCTGCTCTCGAGCGCTCACTGGCGTTTGAGAACTTCATCAACCGCTTTTTCGACCAGACGTCTGCGTTCTACTTTGGTGAAGATGCGATTTCCGTCAGAGGACAAGCATTCGATGACATGTTATGGGTTGTGCTTGGATGGCTGGAAAACGTCAAGTTTCAGGTTCTCCATTCCGATCTACACTATGCTCGTTCAAATACAACCTCGAATCAACGCTGGCATGGAACTCAATTCCGAATCCCAGCAGCTCATCGAGCACGACTGTTTCACGGGCTCGCTTCTGGCGGATGGGACTCTTCGCTCTGCGAGGGTGGGATGATTTGGAGTCCCTATCTTACCCCATACAAAAATGCCATCACGAACGAGCTGTACATCTCGGCCAGCATTGGCATGTATCTTTACCATCCAGGAGACGTGATCAATTCCCCCTTTGCCACAGATGCCCCAGGAAACGAATTTGCATCCGACCGATACCCACATAACCCTACTTATCTTCGAGCAGCCATCAAGGGATACAAGTGGTTCAATGCATCGAACATGGTCGGTGACGGGGGACTGTACGCTGATGGGTTCCACATTAGTGGTTGGCGAAGTGAAGAGGAGCCTGGCTCGCGCAACTGCGATGTCCTCAACACCATGGTATACACTTACAACCAAGGTGTCATCCTCAGTGGGCTTCGGGGTCTGTGGCTTGCAGCGGGCAACCAGGACTATCTGCAGGATGGACACGAACTGATCCGTAAGGTCATCCATGCCACTGGATGGCCCAATAGAACCGACCAACAATGGGCAGGTCTTGGCCGCCGCGGTGTGCTCGAGGAAGTGTGCGACTCTTCCGGCAGCTGTTCCCAGAACGCGCACACATTCAAAGGCATCTTCTTCCATCATCTCGCCGAGTTCTGCCGGCCCATTTACCCACAGGAGGAGCGATTCTTAGCCGCTGCAAATCGGACATCGAAAGCCGACGGGGACGAGGGCTGGGAGGACGTGTATGAAAGGCACTTGGCTCAATGCCGTGCTTATCGTGAGTGGATTGAGCATAATGCACACGCCGCGCTTGTTACTAGGAATGATGATGGCAAGTTTGGCACATGGTGGGGCAAGAAATATAGAGTCTTAGGCGATGCGACCACCGGGGCAAGCCCCTTACCTCCCGGCGCAGTGGACTATGAGAATTACGGCGACCAAGGCGAGCGCTGCCCGATGGAGTTGACAGGTGCGCTGCGCAGCCGTGCGTCCAGAAACGCTGATAACTCAGCAAGATCACACTCTCGCGATCGACAACGAGTCGCTGAGGGCGCCTGGATTTGGACGAATAGACCAGTGTTATCCAAAGTCAAAGCGGATGACTACAATGATCGAGGACGTGGACGTACCGTCGAAACTCAGTCAGGCGGCGTCGCTGTGTTGAGGGCCCTGTATCAATGGAAGACGACCGCCTCACTGTCATAGCTGCATGGCCCTTGTGATCACCCCAGACTCTAGTATCATTATCCTTACGAATAAAATGATCGTTTTCGACAGAAAAGAAAAAATATTTTGTCAAACAAAACCCTGTCCTCCGTCTCATCTCCCGGATCTGGAAACAGCGTGCAAGCCCACATGAATTGCAAATGAGAGGATTGAGAATCCCGATGAGCGTTCGGGTGATATTCGCCTCGAAAGCCTATTGATTGTCAAATAGCCAACCTCAAAGGACAACAAACGACCATGAGAAAGTCATCCGGATATTGGACCAGGGGCTAGAGTATCCAATGTCTTTAATGAAGGAGGACGGCCTCGCGCCATTTCTGCTTCAACCCAGGTGCACGTAATCACAGTAGCAACGCCATACCTACACATCGCTTCAATCCTATATAGTACCCAGGACAGCCAAAACCCAGCATATCCCCCATCCTGGTCAACGGAATCCAGCGCAGAGGTACTCCGCACTGCATCCAGCAAATAGTCAGGCGATTTTCGCACTTGCTGGATGGAACATGGATCATCTCCCCATATCTCGCCCACGCAGCAGGAAACCCCGGTCGTTGCAGTATGCGAGCCCCCCCAAGCTGCAGACCTGAGTTAAGAATACATATTCTTCAGTTGAAGGAATATCAATTTTAATTTTTCCTGGGTTATAATGACTTATTATGAAACACAATGATTGATTGGCCCCTGGTCTCCGCGGGTCATCTTCCCCAGTACCCCCGGTAATCTCAGGATGCGTTGAAAAAACCTTGTCAATAATACCGCTACTATCTAACCTGGGAGCGGAAGGTTTTAGATGGGGGTTGTCACTTGTCATCCTGGAAGTACCTTAGATAGGTTTTCCACCATCGAAGTTTAGCATGGAAGGCCCTTGGAACCCACGATAGGGCTTCGGTACATGAATGGCGTCGTTGTGTGCTTTTTGCGGAGAAAGTTAGAAGTTTGTAGTATGTATATGGATGCGCTATTGGATCTGGTGAACTTGTGTCAGTTGCCATCTCGTGTGACGATTCCATTCCCTCTAATATCGCCTTGTCAGTCCTTCGGTTGATATCCTTTCCAGTGGGGGATACAAATACCGAGTTGCAGCTAAAGTGCTCCCGTATGACTGACTGTCTCCCAGAGGGTCAGTTGTTTTGGTGGGAAAAAACCCAATCAATCATCGCAGGCGACAGTCTTTGTCTTGGCCTCTTGGCCTCTTGACCTCTTCTTCTTGGGGGCGATTTTTGAAACCCGCAGGAGATCCGAAGTCATGTCCCGATAGATAGTTAGACCTACTTTTCCTTTCCTTTCGATTTGTACTACCCTGCGATCTTCAGCTCCTGATTGGCAATGAAGAGTAGGTGAAGAAAGAGCATCCGTATCATTGGGTCTTCCGCGGTAGTCCCAAGCCTAAAAAAGCATTTTTCATTTTCAGCATCATAGCGAGCCGTTAATGGAATGCCAACTGTCAAGATAAACTTGAGAAGAGAACAGCAGTGAAGGAAGCAGATGATACGAGATCCCAATAAAGCCAATCATCTGCCAAGGGGTGATCTAAGCTGCTTTTGTGGTCCTGATGCTGGAAGCCACATGGGACTAGTCGAATGTGGGCGACGCAGTGTGGAAGATAAAAAGCCGTTGATAGTTGATATGTCTCTGATATAAACGAGGCTTGTTGTTGGTCTCTGAATGCTTATGCCAAGTGCAGAGCGCGGCAGTAGTACAGAGTACCTTTTTTTTTTATCCGATGATGACGATGATGATGCAAGAAGAGAAGAATGAAGCCGAGAGTAACTGCTATCCATGGTTGTCGTGTGGGAGATGGATATAGAAGGACATTAGACAGTGAGCCACGGCAAGAATCGAATTCTCGAAGAATTCAAATCGAAGATCAATGCTCAAGAAGAGCATGAGGATCATAGGATGGCAATGCCCGCCCACTCTGGCGGGTGCAGGAGCAAATCATTTCTAAGCGATGGACTGATGATCAGTAGTTCTTTATCAGGATATTCAGGATCGGCCGGACACGGTCAATGTCTTTTTTTTTTTCCCTTTTCTTTCCTTTTCTCTTCTCTTCTGCTTCTTTTTCTGCTTGTCTACCAACTTCAAACATTCTCTATAAATGATGCTTTCTGATGATATCGAACTTTCCAACCAGTCTGTATAGGTATGTACTATGTCGTTAAGGGTACTTCGTTCTTGCCTGAAAACAATACTATTATTGACCAGGTCAGGTCAGGTCAGGTCAGGTACCTTACGATTAACGTTTGCAAGATAAAATCATGCCAAAATCCTGACGGATTGAAATGTTTACTGGAGCAGAGGGACCAAAACTACCAATCACGGTACACCAGTGAGATGGGACCAAAAGTGGAGCCTTACAAAACAGTCACGCGGTAAGCTAATTCTGGTACCCTTACTCCATACATACCCATACTTTCAAGTCTTTCAGCCCATGCTGTACGGGTGGAAGCTGTAACTGTAAGCCTGTACGTAGTAGTAAGCTGCGAGGACTACGGAGTACCTAGATACCTCAGGTAGTAGGTACGTAAGAACTCCGAGTATTTAATGCCTTGGTAAGTCTTGGGATATTAGGCAAATCTGTCAAAAGAATGAGATTCATAAAGATACATAAATCGTTCAGACTTGGCCAATTTATCAATCTACATTTACCCATGTGTTATTTGTTAATTCCTTTCATGTTTTTAAAAGAAACAAACCGCACTTGAACAGCTGGCAGACAGGCCAAAAAGCATCTTCATCAGGTCACAAGGCTACATGACCCATTACATGGACGGGGGATAATGCATGCGATCCGGCGCCGATGCGGGGGTCGAGGAACATATTCAACTGGTTCGTTGGTTTAATAATGCTCGGCCGGATGAAATGAATGCTCGCAATAGTTGCTCCCGTTCCCAGACTGCTCGTACAGTAGTACTACTTCATACCTACCTCCATGTTGCTTCAGGCGACCTGGTCAGCGATTATCGTCCAATTACGCTCGTCGGGTTTACAAGTCATATTTGTTTTTTTATTGTTATTTTTTTTCTCGCTGAGGAATCTCCAAGTGTCAATCCCAGCTCGTGTTCGAAATCATACTATTACTACGGGGTGATGGCTGACCACCTGATTTCTTGTCGTGTGTACACTAGTGAACAGTGTAAGCACCTCAGCAACAACAGATTCGTGTGAAGTACATCGCAAAGTCAAGCAGACCAAGTGAGTTTTAAGCATCAAGCAGCGGAAAGCATCCGGTTCCAATCAACAAGCGAACAGCATCGTTCTTGGTTATGAGCAGGCTTTTCATGGCTTCATACCTACCTTGCTGGAATGCTGGCATGAAACCTTAGCCTCGACAAGAAATAATCACTAACGAACGCGAGCTGGTGAGAGGGAGTCGACTGTTTGAGATCCATTCTCTGGCGGTTTCTGATTGGACCTAGTGATATCACTACTATGTTCCTTCACCAGGACAGGCTTCTTTGGATCCTTGCTTGTTTTGATTCCATATCTCTATTCAATATCCAATGTCAGAAACCGAGAATAAATAGTATAGACTAGGATAAGATAGTCAGGACAGTACAGTAGTAAGTAGATAAATGCAGAATATCAAATCACATTGCACGCATCAATTTTCTTTTTCCTTTTTTCTTTTCTTCCTTTTTACAGTACAATGACGTGATTTTCCGTCATGGCGCAGATAGTTGCCCTCAAAGGTGAGCCATCAGCCATCAGCCATCAGCCTTTTTTCCCCAGCGGCAACTTCAGCCCACCGCAAGGGGCGGTTCTTTTGGTGTTGGATGTGGAAGAAATGGAGAAAAAAAAAAGAAATTCTCTCTTCTTCCTTACTTTTTCTGTTTCTTTGATCGGGCATTTAATGCTAATTTTGCTCGTTTTGCTTTTTTTTTTTTTTTTTTTTTTCTTTTTGTTCCTGTTACTGATGTTGATCAAATGATAGTAATCCTTCCAAAACACATGTTGATATTCTATGGAGACTTTAATGCCTCGAGATGGATGATTCTCTTCCCTTGCGCTGGCGCCGCTGTCACCAGTCCCCTCATCCCATTGAGTGGTTATTGATTGGTACATTGGTACAATCGTCTAACTCAATAGTTGTAGGACAAGAGAGGACAGGAGCGCCTCTAACCCCTTTCGTTCGGCATTGAGAGGTGGATGAGTGACATGTGGTTGTAATTCAATCCAACTGAGCGACGGGACAGACAGACCAGACAGAACGGTTCAGATGTTGCTATTATTCTCGGTCTCGGGAACTCTATGGGAAGCTTGGGGTCAACTCATGAAATACCAACCTTTCCTGTGCCCTTTCGCATCACGGGTCATCATATCGACATCCATGTTTATAGGTAGATGTGCTCTTCATGGCTGGCAACTACTCGAAAAGAAAGACTAAACCCAACTTGTCATCTACTCTACTTCAAATAGATAGTTGTTAGCTGTTACTCTTGTACATAAATAAACTGTAAAAGAGATTCGATCTGAGTGGAGGGAATGCTTCCGACATGATCGGCGTTCTGTACAATCCCTGCCGGTTTCACTTCCCTCCCAGTTTGGTGTAGCCATGGATCCGTCAAGGAAAAACTGTCGAACCCACGGGAATGGATCGTCCGTCCCTCTTGCCCCCCCCCCCAAAACCGTTTGTGATTTGAGGGACTATCTATGATCTATTATCAAGGAAGTCAAGTAGACTACTAAGTAGTTATAGAGTACAACGGAGTACTTACCTTATGTATCGACTAGTCAACGATAGGTAGCATGGATCTTGTCTATCTATCTATCTATCTATCTATCTATCTACCTACTCTTTAGTTCACTGCTAAACAAACGTTTAAAACATCAAGTCCCGCGAAATGTACACCGTCTTGATCTTCACTCCATGACGGGGGCGGATGAATTGGAGAACATCGACGACGACGTGCAGGCAGGCCGCAGGATCCTCCTACTCACGAGTATGCCGTGAGCCAGGGCAGGCTATTCTAGGAAATCCACCTCCGTACACCGGATTTGTCGACGAACACGCCGTGTTAAAAATCAAGCTTGCCACCACTGCCTATGAGATAATGGCAAGTCCCCGACGACCAGGAACAACTGACCTTGCTGCTGATTACTAGATACTTAGTATTTGCCATGACTCGATCGACATTGCATGACCACGTCCCTCGAGGGGTTTGATTTCCTGGAGACTCATACCAGTGGAGTGTGGATAGAGAAGTACAAGAGGTTTTAGTTGCACAGTGCTTGACATTCCCAATGATATCGTCTTTCCCCGGTTTCTCATCCCACCTAATGGATAGTGGCAATAATTTGATATGACCCATTGATCATGCACCAAAACGAAAAAGAGGCTACAGGCTACATGTACTCCGTATGATCTAATGATCTGCCTCTTAGTTCTGAGTCCAAAATGACACTGGCTAAAGAGTCCAACCAGTCCACTATCGATCGTAATGATTTTCCAAATCACACATACCGTTCAGCGTCATCGGCCACTGTGGCTAATGACATGGTATCAGCGGGATGACGGGATATGCCTTGAGAATTAAAGGGACGCCTACCTAGTAGTACCTACCTCCTCGTAAACTGGTGATCCGTACTCCGTATAGCCCTCAGCCTCTCTCATTTCGACATAGTACATAGCTCCATACTGGCGGTGGATGATGGGGATCATCCTCATTTCTCCGATAGCCAACCTCTCAGGTGTTTTTGGCGAGTCATTACTCCATCCAAGAGTTACGTACCCCTTCTCTAGCTCTAAAGGGGCCAAGGTTAGGTTGACACTAACCGCTCTCGCACTAAGTCGAGTATCTAGTTTGCTAGACAATATGTAATCCCACCCACTAAATCCACACTAAGCGAGACTAAATCGAATAAAATCGCTCTAAATGCAAAAGGGGAACCACCCCCCCCTTCTAAAGGTCAACCGCCCCCGCCAAATCCACCCGAACCCAACCAAAACAGGTGTTCTCTTCACCGAAAATTCGCAACTTGCACTCCAGTGCCTTCGCCTAGTATGTGTGTAACTGTGTATGGCTCTGACACCAGGTATTATCCACCTGTTAGCGGTATCGCCTTCCCTGGATCTAACGATAACGGGAGGACTAAGTCCAGTGGCGGCCACGAGTCTTTCAGCCACTAACTTTATCTAGTAAGGTAGGAACTTGTAAATAATGAACCCTCCAATACCAGATTTTTATTACTCCTTTTCTGCCCAAAAGTACACTCTTCTCCCGGAGCCAATTATGGGCGGATCATGTACCTCCGTCCTCCAGCGGTAGGTCTACGAGTACTAACATACGACTGTTCCATACTGCTACAAAGTAGACTACCTAGATGCAAGAGACAAGAACTTCCTCTTAGGCAGAGCGCCCATTAATCATGTCAATACCAGGTGCGGACCTTCGTGGTAGGTAAAGTATGGATAATTATACACACTGTACAGACAGTATGTAGGGATGGATGGGGTTTCATATAATATAAAATAATAATAATAAACAAAACGAATTAAATTTTTTTAATTCCGTTATTATTATTATTATTATTTTCATTATTATTTTCTCCCATTTTTCTTTTTTATTTTACATTATTATCCCTACCGCTATTCTTCCCCTACTAGTCTGTGACTCCGAAGAACACTACTACGAAGTACTCCGTAGCCCATACAAACTAAACTAAGCTACCCTCCTCTGTATAGTCGTCTACTCCGTACTCCTACTTAGTGGTAGTAGGGTCGTTACTCGTGAGTAGTTATTATTCACCAAGTCTCTATCTACTACTCTCCTACTACTACCAAGTACCAACACTAACTAGCTGTTTGTAGAGCAGTACTATCATCTTGACTATTATTCTTCTGTCTTCTTCCTTTCTCTCTCTCCCCTCCCTTTCCCTACTTACGGCCACGACAACTCCCCCGCCGCCTTTCCACTTGCTGCTCACTCACTACTAGTCAACTACTCCCTTCTCTTCTCTTTCTCTTCTTTTTCTCATTCTACGATCCTAAGTGTCATTATTCTTCTCCCCTCTTTTTCTCTCTCTCACTCTCCCCTCTCACTTTCCTCTCACGAATTTCGCTCCGTATATTGGGCTTCCGTCCCTTTTTTTTGTTGTTTCTTTTTGCCTCCTCACCCTCCCGTTTTCGGACTGCGACCGGGTCCCTTTCCACAACTCCTTTCGAACGCATCAATTTAGACGAACAAGAAACCGAAAGAGTAACGTGGGAGGAATCGCCAAGTCATTTGCCAGATAACTTCGAGTTATTGCGTGTTTCCGAGTCTCGGTAGCTCCAAGTACCGTCGCTTAACCGATAACGCTCGTCCGAAACTCTCCCTGTCCTCTTCTCCTGACTCGTTCCTGGAGTCCCTGGTGTCTCCCATTCTACACAGCCTTCCCTCCTCTTTTCGCCTCTGGAGATTGTTTCGCCTTTTTGATTCGCCATCACGATATTCTGAACATCATCTCTACTATTTTTAAGAGGGACGTTGCCAACATCCCCTTGGGATCCCGACAACTACCTCGAGCGACTAACACAGATTTTATCTGGAGTAAATCGCTGGAGGTAGTTCCAACTATTACTCGTTGAACCTCCCTTTTACTATCAATCTTACCTCAGAATTCAAACGTTCAGGAAACGTGGACGGCGACCGTTGCCCTGCGCGAATCAAGTCGTTACTTTTTCTGTGGTAACCATCCTCAACCACAGGAACCCATCCAGAGTGAACCGTCGTCACCATATCCGAACTACCATGGCCTCTGTACCGGATGTACACGGGTCTTCTCCTGTTCCAACGCTGCCCCAACCAAATGACAACGGTCGCGTGCATATGTCCTCCCTTTCATCCTCCTCATCCATATCCGACGCAGAAAGTGAGCGACGGGGCCGTTCTGAACGCCCCCGAATGGCCAGTCGAAAGCCCAGTGCGTCGATTCTAGTTCCACGCGACCATCCTGAAATTGAGATTGAAGAAGAAGAATTTCCGCCCGACGACGCTCGCGCCATGAGTCCACGTCGCAACTCTGCAGATTTGGAGCGCTTGGGCAAGGAGGCAAGACAGACTTTGCAGGAGTGAGTTCTTTTCGAGTCAACTAAACCCCAGCCTCCGTCATTCTAGCGCGCAATACTGATGCCTTCTTTTCCATTTATCTCTAGGCAAGCAAAAGCGCTCCAGTCTTCTCTCCAAGCCCTTGCCGAACGTATCGAGGCAGTTAAATCAGACCACGACAAACTCGAGAGCGAGAACAAATTCCTACAGGACTATATCGGCGGATTGACTCGCAATATGACTAAGAGCGAATTGACTCGATCGAGTACGAAATCCAAAAGATCGCATAAATAGCGTGTGCGCCCATATCAAACCCTCTCGGCGAATGCGATAAGGGCCCTAAGGGAGACGGGCCATTTCGGAGTGGCATCGCACATCATCTCAATTGACCAGATGCACACTTCTCGACTTCTATGAGCTGGGATCCTCCATCCTATCTCAATACGGGTTTGCTGCGAATGTGCGTTCTACACCGTCGCTGTTCGCTACTGTTTGAGTCCAGGCCACCTTCGATGTTATGATATGCAGAAGATGGCGTCTATGCTTTTTTTTCTTCTTCACACCCACATTGCTGCGAATTGCCGATGTCGTGTTTGGGGGGTTTTTTTCCCCACCCCAACGGATCAACATAGCATTGCTCTATCTCAACAACTCCAGAAACCCACAACCTTCCGATTTGAGCGGCATCAAAACCTATTTGTACAACAATACTTTTACTCCAAGTCAAGAAATCAAAAAGACTGCGGACTTGAGGATATCCCATGTGATTTGACAACACTCAGGGGAGAGCAAAAACTGTGACATCATATAGCATGCCAGTGTTGCTGGGGGAATTTGTTCCGCCACTTTGAGCCGTGCTTGCTCAGCCCCGAAGATCCTCGAAGCTCTACCTCCACGACCGATCATTTGAGACATACCTGCCTGCCAATCCCTTTTGCTGCCTTGCGTGGGGTGCGCATCGTGACCTTTTCTTCTTTTCTTCGCTTTTTTTTTAACCCTTCTGGTCGGGCAGATTACCTTCGTCAGTCGATACTTCCCCCACCTTTTTCTTCTCATTCTCATTCTCATTCTCATCTTCATTTTCCCTTTCCTTCGTTTTTTTTTTCTATTCCTTCTTCTCGTCGTTTCTCTATTGTTACCACGGTGGTCTCGTGTATTTTTGTGGCATAGCACGCTCGGCGTTTGGTTGCGGGATCATTTACCTAGACTTGAATGACTTTGGAGCCGCACTGGACGCATTTGATCTCATGGTCAGCAAAAATGGCGGGAAAGCATTTTCATGGAGCAGCCAATGAGGGTTTCATCTACTTTTTCGCGTGTACATTTGTCCCGTCCAGGTCTGACGGTTGCTTATTGTTTGTTTGACTCTGAGGACATTTGCTTTACATACCCAGGAGCGCGCAGGTTGTTTTTAGTGCAATAAATTGAATTCAATCAAATGAATCCTCCCGTCGTCTTGTAAGGGTGGTAAGGAGTAAGGTACTGGGGGCCTGTAGCTGGAGCAGCAGTGTGACCCGATCTCGATACCACCAGCATCCATCTTACTGTGCATAGCCAGCACATACATATCACCCACGCCTTCCCCGATGGTCACTACGACTACAAAGCAAGGCCCGAATTCTGCACACCCGGAGTCGACAGTCGACAGTCCACGATCCACAATCCACACCAATCGATTCACCTTCGGCCACCCGATAGCCACCCACCTAGCTCAACAATCAGACCGATGCCGATACCACCACATGAGGATGGGAAATTGAGAAAACCCACGATCGGATATCTAACCATAAACCCCCCGAACGCCACATTTTTGTTCCGCTTCGGTTCTCTCTTTTCTTTTTTTTCTCGTCGTGCGGGAGATACCGAGTTTCCAGTTTCCACCATCAAATCCAAGCCAAGATCCAAATACGGCGCTGGTGCATGGGGCACCTTGCAGTTTGCAGTCTGCAGTTTTTCTTCCTACATAACATAACTCCAAGAGTCAGTTCCCCCCGCGCGCCGCCGCCAGTGTTGCAAAGGGTGTAAAGGTGCATACCTAGTACCACGGAGGCGAGTATGTACGGTAAAAAAAAAAAAAAAAGTGAAGAGTAAATAAAGAGTACCAATATGCCGTCCCGTTGCTACCTACCCTTCCCCGGGGGGGGGGGTTCCAACTACTCCGTATGTAGATGTAAGTACATAACATACTCATACTTACTTACATACTTACAGACATACAGCCTGCCTAGTACCTACTTAGATATCTACCTAAGGTACTCTGTACATCCTACGCATCTGTCACAAGCGGCAAAAGTACAAATGGGAAATGGAAATACGGGCAAGGGAAAAAGGATGGAGAGAGGAATGACATCATTGCAGAGGGATAGGGAATAGGGAATTAGGGATGATAGGTAGGTACATCATGTCTCACAGTCACAGATCACAGGTCACATGTATTCAGTAGGAAACTTAGTAATCTACTAGTCGGGTACTTCGGTTGCCTTACAAATGTGGCTCAGCAGCTCAAGTCAGTCCGTCAGTCCGTCAGTCAGTCATTATTATACCACAAAACACATGAAGGGGCGAAATTTAAGGATGGCGCGGAAGGGCGCCGCAGACGTCATGGTTTCAGGATTGCAGATTGAGATTTGACATTTGACATTTTGAGGTCTGTAGCTGACTTTTACAAGAAACTTCGAAGTTCAGGCGCTAACTCTCGTTCTCATAAATAGAACTTCCAGAGAGGCTAGGTTTAGCGCTGGAGAGTCAGGAGACTCGGGCATGGTGAGATGGTGATGGTCGAGAGTAGTTACATCGTGGGGGGGTAAGTCTTGAATCCTGAGAAACAGCGCTAGGAAATAAAGTCACATTGCTGCCATGTCAGGACACGACAAAGGGTCTGCAGATACTTCTGTGTGTTGACTGGATCTCGTGCCCCTTTCTTACACGGGCTCAAGCACTTCAACTCGACGGACAACGAGCAAGTTCTTATGTATGAATTTCAACTTTCTTTGATAGCCACTGCTGCCTGAGTTTAGATCTAGATTCGAGCTAAGACGAAAAATCAAACGCCGGGGTGGCACAAATACGTGGATGGGGGGTGACCAATGTAGGATCCGCGACAGCACTTTACTGTCGCGGCCTTCGCGCGTAGGCAATTGGGGAGACTGGAGAGAAGAGCGCGATTCTGTAAAAAAGGGAAAGGTATTCTTTGGGTAATTGAGGCAATAAGCAAAAAAAAAGGGAAAAAAATATAGGGAAAAGATGGGTCAACAATAATAACGGAGAACCACGATCGGGGACAACAGGAGCATCGACAAAGTGTGCCAGAGAAAGACCGAGAAAGCGGAATGAGACGGTCGAAGCGAAGAGAATAGTAAAGGATCCAGAGCGCAGAACACAAGCAGATCTTCTTTGTCCATCAGCCGTGAACATTCTCTTGCAAGAAGAATTCCACGGCCTCTAGAACAATTACATGATACAATTGGGAGAATGCGTCTCGCTTCCCTTTCCTTCTGATGCACCGTTGTCTTTTTTTTTGGCATTAACGAGTCTTTCGCCCCTCTTGAGATCGATCATGGCTGGACGCGAGTCCTCCATCTTCTTTTCTCATTTATTCGGCGGGCTTCTCGGCATCGGCGGCGGGGGCCTCCTCCTTCTTCTCGGCGGCGGGGGCGTTCGACTCAGCAGCAGGCTCGGCCTCAGATGAGGTCCAAAGAGTCTAAAAAGCGTTAGAATATGCTTTGGGAGGTGGGAAATTCTCCGAGAATCTTATCTTACCAGGTTGTCTCTGAGAAGCTGCATGATCAGGGTCGAGTCCTTGTAGCTCTCTTCGCTCAGGGTATCAAGCTCTGCGATACGCGTCAGTCATGCTTCTATACTTGGTGGTTTGGGACTAGTCCTACCGGCAATGGCATCATCAAAAGCAAGCTTGGCAAGGTGGCAAGCCTGGTCGGGAGAGTTGAGGATTTCGTAGTAGAAGACAGAGAAGTTAAGAGCCAGTCCCAGGCGGATGGGGTGGGTGGGAGCAAGATCGGTCTGAGCGACTTCGGTAGCGCTCTTGTAGGCCTCGAGGGAGGCATCGGCGGCAGTCTTGCGGCGGTCGCCAACAGCGAACTCAGCAAGGTAGCGGTGGTAGTCACCCTTCCTGGATCACAGAAAAAAAAAAGATCACCGATCAACATTGCTCATCGGAAGCAGGGGGGGAATGCTGAAACTTACATCTTGTGGTAGAAGACCTTGGACTCGCCGCTCTGGGCCGAGGGGATCAAATGCTTGTCCAGAACCTCAAGGATATCATCGCAGATCTTGGCGAGCTCGGCCTCGATCTTCTGGCGGTACTCCTTGATCAGAGTGACCTGGGACTCGTTGCCCTTCGACTCCTCCTTCTGCTCAATCGAGGTGACAATTCTCCACGACGCACGTCTGGCACCAATGACGTTCTTGTAGGCGACGGACAGAAGATTCCGCTCCTCAACGGTGAGCTCGACATCGGAAGAGGCGACAACCTTCATGTTCTCGACCATCTCTGGAGCGAACCCCATTAGCATGATATACTCGCTGTCATAGGGATAGGGAGGAGAAGCACGAACCTTCATAGCGCTCAGCCTGCTCAGCGAGCTTGGCCAGATAAACAGCATCTTCGTGACCCATTTTGAAGGATTTCTAATCGGCAATGATCGTTAGTAAAAAGAAGCAGGACTCGTCAGATTCAATAAAATCAAAACGGTCGCATTGACAATTTCGTCCGGGTTTCAAGGACATTCCAGGCCATCATCAAACTTTCATCAAACTGGATGGATGGAAGCGAAACGTTGAAAATTATGACCCCAGAGTTGATGGATTGGAGCTACTGGGAAGTGAGGGCGAGATACTCCTCCCGAGCCCACTCCCCAGAAGGAGAGACGCCGACAGATACATTTCACGAAAGCTTGGAACGGTTCACTGGCGAAAAGAGACGAAAAGGAGTCGTCAAATCATGTAAACATCGCATGTCATCATTCGTCTGCTATCGTCGCGAAATCGTTCCTCGATATTGCAAATAGGTGTATTCCAAGGTACTCCGGTCGGCAAGCAGTGGGAGTAGAGCGAACAGTTCGTCCCAAACAAATAATCGGGTCATGCGACTTCATTCCTGAGGTTTTAAAGAAGATCCATAGAATCCGACCCTTGAAACCCAAGACGAGATTTTCTTATGATTTGCGATGATAATCATGGGGGGGGGAAGATGACAGCAATGATGAGGCTGATGATGGCATGCCTGGGAACAAGGATGGAAGAGTCAGGGAGAAACGAGGGGGGGGGGATGGTGGAAA